ACTTTTATTTTGGTCAACGTATTCACATATATATATAGGGAGCCTTTAGTTGGAAAATGTTATATATATATATATATATATATATATATATATATATATAATAAATAAATAAATATATTTTGTGGCTATATATATATATATATATATTTATAAGATAATAATTATCTAAAATTAAATAAGTTAAATGATATGTCTTAGAAAGGATCTTCAGGTTTGAAATGAAAAAGAAAATAATACCCGATTTCATAGAATTTTAGAATATGTATATTGATACTATGATGTCATTGAACCAGATTTGTGAGTGCATTGGATTCTATTTGTGGTGTGGACCCTTGTGATACCGAGTTCGAGTCAAAGGGGCATACAGGTACAGGTAAGCTTTCGTGTCCTCGGATTGATCTGTTGTTTATTCCACCGACCTCCATGTGAGGGTGATTTATATGCATGGTATGCTTTTATGAAAATGTTATATGCATTGATATATGTCTGAGATATGTGAATATGTCTGTTGATTACTTACACAATCAGACAACGACTCTAGTGTGTAAGGCATAAGACTGCGACTCTTATGTTTAGATGGGTCGCAGACGTGCATAATCCTTATCCTATTCCCTGGCCAGTCGAACCGTATTTGCATACATCATATGATTACTGAGTTAAATGTTAGCTTGTTGAGCAAGAGATTATAATGTCATGAAATATATGCGTAACATGAACATTCATTGAAATTACTATTTTGAACTTATATTATGCCTGTAAGTGAGCTTGGGGCGGAAGAGTCCTTAAGGATCCCTTGTCTTACTGAGATTTCTTTTTAGAGATCTCACCCCACGTTTGTGGCACATTTTTCAGGATCAGGTACCTCGGGGGTTAATACCTCGGGCGGCAGGAGGCCGGAGCTGAGTTGAGATTTATGCTTTCATGATGATATGCTTGGATGCTGACATGTTTTACATTTATTATCATGTTATTGGATTTGAGACTCTGTTGGGCTTTGTTGCCATATTTGGTGAGCATGAGGATTGTTCATGCCACATTGATGTTAGTTATGCTTGTACTTTTGAGTTGTATAAACTATCAGGATGGTCCGGTCTACGTGTTGTAGTTCCGTGACTAGAGACACAGTTACTTAATATATGAGGTATTTCAGTTAGTTGTTTGATGGCAAATTACATACAAGCAATGTTTTGAAAATGTTTAAATAATCAACTTGGTAAATGATAATGACGTCAAAATTGAAAAGAAAAAGTTTATTCCGCATTTTAATGAAGCGTAGCTTAATACGATGACATGATAACAAACCAGTTATACACGGGGTGATACACCTCTAGTGGTGCACCGTTGACACATTTTCCCAAAAGCCTAAATTTCATCAAATTATACCACTAATCAAGTTCTCTCAAGCTCTTTCACACCATGAAAGCTATGGCCAAGAAGAGAGGATGAAGAAGGTGAAAATGTCGTGTAACAAGAAGGAAAATAAAGATGACAACTTGTTAAAATTTCAAAGACTTAATGTGTAAGTTTCTTTAACTTTTTCACATTTTAACTTAGATATTTTTATCACACTTTAAGTTAACTTCCAAGAGAAGACTTTTTCACTTCAAATCAACCAAAGCTTCGTGGAAGACACCAAAGAAAAGAAACAAACCGATTTGCACAGGTAAAAGTAGTTTAGCACACAAAATTTGATTTTTTCAAAGCATAAAGTAACTTAATTCTCATTGGTTCTTACTTTACACTTGGAAGACACTTCCTTAGACTTATTTCATGCATAGGTGGCGTGGAATATGAAGACCAAAACAAGAAATAATCATCTTGCACACAAAAGAAAACATAGCACATAATTGTTGACTTTTTAAAGTTTATGTAACTTAGTTTCTATTGGTTGTTACTTTACATGTAATACCTTTGAAAATTGACCAACCAACCATAGAATAGAATGATTACACATAGGACATAGCAAACAAAGCATTTATGTGTAATCTTTAATATCATTGATACACCTCCTCTCAGTATCCTTTAAGAAATCATTCTCAAAAGAATACGATGATTAGCTCGACAACTAAGTCAACAATTGACTGCTGTCCACAGGATCAGACGAAAGACACCTAAAAATAATTAAACACAAAATAGTCAGGACACATGCCAACATCACTACGTCAACGAAAAAACGATTTCATTTATCAATTTACACTACAAACATAAAGAACAACACACCACACCTTTTTTTAAAGGTCGCTATCTCGGGAACATTGGAATTAGTGATGATCCTTGTTGTATACTTTGTATTTGTTATTCCTATATTACCTATACAATAAAATATACAATACACAGATATACAAAAAATAAACAGAATACCACAGTGCCAAGGAACGAAAGACATGAAAAAATACCCCTGAAACCCTTTATTCTCGCAAGCTGAATGATTATAACATTATGAGGAGACTGATTACTCGCCAAGAAAGTCTGCACTTCGTCAACGTACTGCTCCCACAAAGTACACTCAAGCTTCTGGCCACTATTTGTGCAGTGATATTTAAGAAACCATGCAATATATTTTAAGCACACATATAACACAGTGATATATTTCGCAAAAGCATTCCATATCGACAAAGGGTAATACCTGAGATTGTCCAGCTCCAACACAACCATTTTTGTTTTTCTACCGGCGATTACATGCTCGCGAACTTCGCCTATACCAGATAGTAAACCGATAACGTCTGCACGAAAAAGAAGGAGGGCTTACGACAATGTTATCAAAACAAAAAATAGTTAGGAAGACAAAAAGCATTACCCACTAAATAAGGAGAGTCAACTCCTTCATTCGCAATTGTGTCAAATTGAACAAAATCAAATCCATGGACAGGGATAACAGCATCAACAATGGATGTAACATCCGTCCTGAGGTTAAAAGACAACTGATAGTCATGTCTAGTTGGCCTATAATTATCGCTATTTAATCCAACCCCAAATTTTTTAACAAAATAAGCCTCTCCTTCACGAATTTTTTTCCGCACTTGCAGAGAACCTTTAATAGTGGCATAGACCCGTCCCCCCTACAAAAACACACATTAAGAATTTGTTCATCCAAAACGAAACGCAAACAAAGATAACAAAATAAAGTAAAAAAAATGAGAGTGTATTCACCTGTTCATCCAACAGAACCATCTCCAAGTTGTCATTTAAATTACGTTTTTGAAAATTAGGAACTTTCCAACTCCTCAGCACCTTCACCTTAATCCTCCAATCCTCTTTGGTAGGATTAAGGTCCTTTATCAAATCATATTTGGAGAACATAATGTAGAAGAAAAAGGCTACAAACACAAAAAAGAGAAGCAAAATGAATCTGAAGTGGACGAAGCTTGTAGAAGAAAAGGCTACAAACACAAAAAAGAGAAGCAATCAGAAATTGTAGAAGTGGACGAAGCTTTTCATGAGCAAAAGAAGAATAACCAATTACATATATTCTATTTCCAGGCAAAGTCGTAATTTATTTTAAAAAGTTATTTTAATAAAATTGAGTGCTTGTAGAATACATCTCACCATTAACGATGCAGGAAATAGTGGAATTTTCAAATTATTTTTTTGAAAAATAAAAGATTTCTAAAAGAGGCAACTTTTGAAACTCTTCTCAAGTGTGAACACAAAGCTGAAAATGAAAGACAGCGTGACACGTCAGCAAAGTTTCCAATGGTGGGTTTAAGATTTTATATATTAAGAAACATTAAATATGCATATAAAGGTGAAAATCAAAACAATAATTTAACGTTGTAATTTTTCTTTTAATTTTTTTATCCTGTTCGTTTTCTTTTTCTTTATAAATAAATATCGGAAAAAAGGTATGCGCGGAGCGGGAAAACAAATTCGAACTTTATCATCTCTCTACTCTCTCTCTCTCACACACACCATTTTCAAATTAATCTCTCTCTCTCTCTCTCTCTCTCTCTCTCCGCACTTTGCTCGAACTCGATTCTGTGATTCGATTCAACAATGGGCGTCGAGAATTACCACGTGATCGAGCTCGTAGGTGAGGGTTCCTTCGGGAAGGTGTACAAAGGAAGACGCAAGTACACGGGACAGGTACGCTACTCTTCCCATTGGGGTTTGTTGGAAAATATAAAACAATTGGGATTTGCTCTTGTACGATTTTGTATGTTTTGATTTTTGATTGATTTGGTGTAGACCGTTGCAATGAAGTTCATAATGAAGCACGGGAAAACTGAGAAGGATATTCACAATTTGAGACAAGAAATCGAGGTAACTCAGTCGTGAAAATTTTGTACTCTTTGACGCCATGCTCGGTCATTTTTTTTTTTTTGAATTCGTGGTTGTTGAAAATTTTAGGAAGAAATGGTCATTGGTTTTCTGTAGCTTGTTGTTGGAGGCGTGAATGTCAATTGGGATGTAACAATTAGGGTTTTTCTGTCAAGGTTTCAGTCGAAGATTCACCGTTTGGAAAAAAGGATGTAGTCTGAGTTTGCTTCTGTTAACGTCTGTAGGTGGGTTGCGAATCTTAGGCTTTTTGGTCACTAGTGCGAAAAGTAGTGCGGTTGGGAAATGGTTGAAGCTAAATATGATTATAATGTCGTTATAATCTTATAAAGCAAAGATGTTGCGGTTGGGTTATTATCATCAGGAGTGCGGAGTTAAGAAGCTCCTTGTTATATATTCTTCAATTATTATGTTTGGATTAGATTAAATAATAAATAAATTAAATAATATATAATGTTAAATTCATATATTTTGGTCTGTCATTGTTCTGTTTTCCATCTACTTTGATAACAGTTATAGTGTCATGGGTGAGATGAGTCGATTGTATGTTGCCTTTCCCTTGTATTTTTGCAAATTGGCTATTTCTTTGACTTGGACCCGTGATTTTCTAGTCACAAGCAGCAACCTTATTGGTGTTTCAAGGCTCGCCTTCTTTGTTGTAATAAGTAGAAAATAGAATTTATATGATTTTTCTCTCTAGAGAGAAAACTAAATGATTTAAACAACTGTCTTTTTAAACTAAAAAATCTAAAATATTATAAAAGTATTGGATTGAATGAAATTGATTGCAGTTAGTATCAATCTTTGGTCAATGCTTATGTAGAACCCGTTGTTTAAATTATATACTAGGCATTTATTTTGAACGATTGTCCTATTTGCTCGAAGTTAAGTGTAACATTCCGGGCGCTGACGAGGGCGGGGAGTGATCGTCGGTGCGAAAGGGCATGGACAATGAGCGGCTCCTGGCAGGCTTCCAGCGACGAGGGTATATGAATGAATCGAATCAACACCCAAAAGAGAGGGATTCCAGAGACTGTGCTTGTATGGGACGGTACACTTGAGAATAACTTATAAGAATTAATTGGTACTACCTATACTAACAAGATGCATCTGCTTTTCGCTAGCCCAGAACGGAAGAACTCCATAGTTAAACGTGCTTGACTTGGGACAATTCTGGGATGGATAACCTCCTGGAAAGTTTTCTCGAAAAGTATGCGAGTGAGGACAAAGTATGCTGAAAAGTCTCGTGTTAGTGTGTGGGGACAGTCGTTAATCCTTGCAAGTTGCCAGGCGTTACATTAAGACACAGTTAAGACTTGAGGAAACATTAGGATAAACCAGAAAATAGTAAAAAAGACTTAGTTAGAAATGATTTTATTGAAAATCTTGTTTTTAATAGAGCCCATTGGCGCAATTGATCGTATAGCTGACTCCACCTAGTGGGGTACCGTAGGGCTTTTTGTTGTTATTACTGATTACTTATAAAGGCCTGTACTGACTACTGACATTTGATATTTATAAATTTTGCAGATCTTAAGAAAGTTGAAGCATGAGAATATTATTCAAATGCTTGATTCCTTTGAAAGCCCGCAAGAGTTTTGTGTTGTCACAGAATTTGCCCAAGTAATTATCTGTATTTTCAACTACTTTTTCAGTTGAGTTTACGACTGAGACTGGATCTGCAGTATTTATCAATCTCTGAAAGTTAACACTTAACATTGATTGGTGAACTATGTATCAAGTATGCACAATTAGCTGATAGTGGAACAGGCCAACATGCATCATTAGAGATGTTGTCATGCTGATGATGCTTTTTATTTTGCAGGGTGAGCTATTTGAGATTCTTGAGGATGATAAGTGCCTTCCTGAAGAACAAGTTCAAGCAATTGCAAAGCAATTGGTATACCTTAAACAATCATTTCTGTCTCAAATTTTTAGATGAAGAGTTGCAATTATAAGGTAAATATTATGTATTTTATTGTGGCAATGATTAATTTTTTGTATGAATTATGCAGGTAAGAGCATTACATTATTTGCATTCCAACCGGATCATCCATCGGGATATGAAGCCCCAAAATATTCTCATTGGTGCTGGATCTGTTGTCAAGGTTGATTTAATTGTTTGTTTGTTTATTAACATGAAGAAACATGCTCTTAAACATGTTCTTATTGCTTGTTGCAGTAGAATTTCACCGCTATCTATTTTTATGGTTTGCATTATACACCGAGAGAAAGCTTATTTTCATTCAATAATCTAGTACAATTTTATTGTGAATACACCTAGTCACCAATGGTAGGGCTTTCATTTCTAGTTTCATGCAATTAAATACAGACGTGGTCTAATTTGTCTTTTTTTTATTTTTGTTTGTTTGTTGGGGATTCATTTATGATAGCTCTGTGATTTTGGATTTGCACGTGCGATGTCCACGAACACAGTTGTTTTGCGATCTATAAAAGGTTCGACTTATCAGAACTGATGTTTCTTGCATTTTTAAATCTTAACTGTAGCAATGTAGCTTTTGTGTAGATGCTTGTACTATAAGGAATAGTACTACAGTCTGCATATCTCTTTACATACTGTATTTTACAGGCACTCCGTTATACATGGCTCCAGAGCTTGTACGGGAACAACCTTACAACCACACTGTAGATTTATGGTCTCTTGGTGTTATATTGTACGTTGAATATCTTTTTAACAGACTTCTTTGCTTGATTGTTGTTCATTTAAATCTGTCCTAATGTCTTGATATTAGATGTCTTTTCATGATTTAAATTAGCTATTTATTTTACGTACAATGTTTTCATAGGAATGTAAAATGCATATTTCCTTATGGATGGGTCCTTTGACTGGCAAGTTAGGTTCGGGTCTGTACAGGAGTCTAAGTGTAAGAGGACAAGAAAATAAGGGAAAGGAATGAAATTTAGTGTGTGAATTGTGAACTACATAGTGGAGGTCTGATTTTATAACCAAAATTGAGTAGCATTCGACAAACCTAGACATGTATTTGCATATAATGAACCTAGATAATGAATGTGTCTCTATACTTTGAATGAATCTAGACATAGTTCTCAACACTCAAGTTGCAACATATAAATCATTTTCACTATATTTATAACTTAATTCGTGGACCCCTCAAAGACTTGGTGAAGACATCCGTCGGCTAATTTTTTGAATTGACAAAGTGAGTGACGATATCTGCAGATAAGATCTTCTATGTGATGAAATGACAATCTATCTCAATATGTTGGTTCACTCATGAAGTATTTGATTAGGTGCAATATGAAATGTAGCTTGGTTATCACAAACTATTACAATTTGTGTAACCTCTCCAATTGGAGCTTTTTAAATAGTCATTTTAGCCAATTGATTTCATCTGTGGCTGAGGTGATATCTTTATACTCTGCTTCAACACTAGATCTTGTGACCATATTTTGCTTCTTACTTCTCCTATATATCAATTTATCTCCTATGAATATCCAGTGACCAGAGGTGGACCTTTTAATAGTAGGGGAACATGTGCAATCAACAAATGAAGATTCAATAATTTGAGTGTGTCCTTTGTCTTCACAGATAAGCCTTTTTACTGGAGCACTTTTGACATATTTCAAGATACGAAGCACGACCTCATAATTTTTATTACAAGATCAATTGAGGAACTAACTCACCACATACACTGCAAATGAGATATTAGGACAAGTAACTTCTAGATAGTTCAGCTTCCCCACTACCCTTCTTTATATTCTTGGATTTGAAAGTAGCTCCGTCTGATTTTATAGGAGTTTAGTGTTTTGATCTATAGGAGTATCAATTGGCTTTGCATTCAACAAACCAATTTCTTCAATAATGTTCATAAGATATTTCATCTGTAAAATTACTGTACCATCCTTTGACTATGCTACCTCTATTCTCAGGAAGTATTTTATTTTGTCTAGATCTTTGGTATGAAATTGATGACTCATATTGTTTCATTTGAATGATGTCCTGGTGATCACTACTAGTGATAACAATGTCGTCAACACATACAATGAAATAGCTACTTCCTTGAGCTGAATTTTGGTAAAGGATAAAGTGACCATTTCACTTTTCATACTTGGATGTTGAACATCTGTGCTAAAATGACCAAACCAAGAATGAGGAGGTTGTTTTAAGACCATACAAGGGTTTGCGAAGACGACAAACTATGCAAGCAAACTCCCCCTAGCAACAAATCAAGGAGTTCTTCCATATAAACTTATTTTGTTAGATCACCATGAAGGAAGACATTTTTTATATCAAGCTGATGAAGTGGCCAGTGTCAAATAGGAGCCATAAAGAGAAAAAGATGAACAAAAGCCATATTTGCTAGTGGTGAGAATATGCAATCACAATCCAAGCCAAAGATTTGGGTGTACCCTTTAGCCCCCAAACAAGCATAAGGCAATCCATTGTGCCATCAGGTAAGGTGGTTGTTTATCAAGAATCAACCTTTAAGAGTAAAAATCCATCGGCAACCAACAACAAACTTGTCAAAGGAAGAGGAATTAGTTCCCAAATACCACTTCCTTGAAGCACAGTGATCTCATCAATCATAGCCTGTCTCCACCCAGGATAAGATAATAACACAGTAGACAAGGAAGAAAGACAAGTGTAATGGAAAAAAGAAAGTCAATGAGAATTCAATGTGATATAATGCTCAAAAAGGTTACGAGTTGAGCAAATACCTTTTTGCAGGGCAATAGGATTGTCAGACTCAAGAGGTAGGACCAAAGTTAGTGAAGGAGTTAGGTCCACGTGAGAGTTTGTAGGGGCCTCATCGATGCTAAAGAGGTTCCAACATTGAAGTAGTTGGTGATGAAGGTGAGTGAAACAAACAAAGTTTGACATGTTAGGGATGAATAGGAGTTCAGTTAGGCAAAGCAGGAGTGAATGCGATTGGTAGGATGAACTAAACTCAGACTATATGATAAGGTAGAGCTGTAGAGATGGATTCAAGAGTGGAAGACGAGGACCAAAAGAAGGAAACCATTTCAAAGAAGGTAACATCAATTAAGATTAGATATCGACGGAGAGTGAGAGCATAACATTGATATTTGATAATAAGACCTCAATGTGTACATAGTTTTCTATAGTAGATAATGCATCCATGATACTTCCAAATTTGGTATGTGATGTTGTAGAAAGAAAGTTGATGCCAAATATGATATGTAGAAAGGCATTAAGAGAAAAAAAATGAAATAAAAAAAGTTTTAAATTCAAGTATAAGCGATGAAGTCCTACATTGACTAATATAAGTGATGAGCATATACCTTTAAAGACTCAAAACTCATTTTTCTAGGGCTTTAGGGGTAAGATGTGGTGTCAAATCCACAATTGTGGTTTGTCGCTTAATTCATTGATGGAGGTTTTGTCTGCTTTGGGGCTTCCTTGGCAGTCTAACAATTTTTTTCTCTATTCCTTTTTTCCTACCTCTTTCTGTATAGACTTTTCTTTCTATTACATCATGTAACATATTTGGATGTATCATGGTTGTATCACTTGCTTCAAGTCCATTTGCATGGATTTTTTAAAAAAGGACTTTTTATGCATTGGTCTTTTTAAAGAGACAATATAACTGGCAGGGTGCTTGTTTTTATTATTATTATTATTTTGTTGCGCATGAAGGCAATTTCTCATTTTTATTTCTTCTTTCTATTTGCAATATCCTTATTCCATTTCTTGGAATAAACTTCTGTTTTCATGCTAGCAGCAGATTCTTTTAGCAGCTTCTTGCTTGTGGTACTCGACTATTGCTTCCCCCTTCCTATTTATAGCGAAAGATTTATTTTCAAAGCTTTAGGTTTCTTTCAGCTTTTGCACAGGATGTCTATTTAGGAATGTGTAATCAGAAGATGCCAGACACGTTGCCATCTCCCAAAGTTATCTGAATGATCACATTGTCTTACTAATAATTATGGTAGCATGTGTTGTGGAACAGGACTTTCTGACCCTCGTTTTTCTTTGCTGAACAACTTAAGTTGAAGCCAAATTTTCATGACTATAACAGGTATGAGTTATTTGTTGGCCAACCTCCATTTTACACAAATTCTGTATATGCTCTCATCAGACACATTGTTAAGGTACATTTCTCAAACGCTTTTGTTATGTAACTTATGTACGTGTTGTGAAGAGCGGGCTGATCACTATTAAATAATCCAGGATCCGGTTAAATATCCAGATCGCATGAGTCCAAATTTCAAAAGCTTTTTAAAGGGGTTGCTTAACAAGGTAGATCATTTGTTAATATTTCTCCTTTTTTTGTGCTACATTGCTAGATTTTACCTTAATCTACAGTGACATTTAAAATGCTTTGGTTTTTGAATTTATTTCGAGCAGGCACCAGAAAGTCGACTAACTTGGCCTGCTCTTCTTGAACACCCATTTGTCAAAGAAACCTCCGATGAGCTTGAGGCCAGGGTATATTAAACTTTATTTCAGACAGCTCCGCAATGTGCAAGAAGCTCCTTGCTTATTAACTTGTTTGATTATTCTTAGCTAATTTAGTAAAATATGGATTAAACATGCTTCAGGAATTGCGTGATATATCTTGTTCACCTGGGGACAGTGATGCAGCACGGAGGATTGAGGGAAAAACCATTCAAACACCAACAGGTTCAGCCACTTCTAGTACTTCAAGATGACATTGCATACTTTGCTGGTTTATATTAGTATAAGTGTATACAATATGTTCCTATATTTTTTTTTTATTTCTCTCCCTTTCATTATAATAATTTACTTTGTCACAGGCAAAAACAATAACACAGTAGGTTCGGAGGAGCATATTGCTTCACCGCTTAAGAGTGAAGTTCAATTAAATTTTGACAGAACCAATTCTTCAGTCCTTGAGGAGTCCCCAGGATTTCCAAATCAAAATGCTGTTGTAGAGTCAGGTATTCATATGCAAATATTTCTTTGGTTGTGGGGAAAAACAAAATCTTGTTTTTGTATTTCCATTTATTGGTAGTCCTTTATATATTCTGTTATGGAAAGTTGGCTTATATATTTTTAACATCTTAATTATAAGGTAAATACTTTTTATTTATGAAGTGGTTCTGCATTATACTCTTGAAATTCTTTTATCGATGTGTTTATGATGTCCTTAACATGATCTAGCTTCCCTTTAGAATATGTCAAATTCTAACCTTCGTTGACTACAAGTTAAATTAATTAGATAACTTAATATTTAAATTCCAAATTAAGGGTTTTTTCTATCTCATGTCATGTATGCATTTTGGTTACATAAATTATGGATTAGCCAATCTCCCATGTGTGCTCATGTGAAGAAGAGTGGTAACTCTATGCTCTGTTCCAATGGAATGGATTACTTAAGAGTATGAATGTATTGTATTCAACTGTGTGTAAAACTGTACAAGAGTCCTCTATTTAAAGGAGGTTAAATGACTTAATGGGCTAAGCATAAATAACCTTCTAGAATAATAAAATAATAATAAAATACAATATTATTTTTATACTATTTCTAACACTCCCCCTCAAGCGGGTGCGTATATATCATAAGCTCTCAACTTGTTACGTATATGATCTATTCGGGGACCTCTAAGAGCCTTGGTGAAAAAAGTTGATCATTAGAATTGACAAATGCTGTCTTGATCTCTCCTGACTGAATCTTCTATCTAACAAAGTGACAGTTAATTTCTATATGTTTGGTCCTCTCATGATAGAATGTGTAACACCCCTAAATTTCTAACAATTTATAAAACATTCTTATAATAAATAAATTGTCAAAATTCATGTTTTATACAATTATGATAATAAAAATATTGCGGAAGCTAATCTAAATCTAATTTGGGGAAATGTTACCGCCGCACCTGTACAGGGACAAGTGCAAGGCTAACTCTATTACATTCAAATAAAATCAAAGACTACATTTTGATACAAAATATTTATGACCAACTAGAAATATTTGAGTTGTTATCCTCACTGCCCATTGCTAGCACGATTCCTTGCAATTTGATTTACTGAAAATCTGCTCCCCCGAAGAAGGATCATTGCAATCAAACAAACACAAACACGAAAGTCAGCAAAGCTGGTAATCCTAACCAAAACACAATTATATAACTCAAATATAATAATCAAATAAAAAATGTAATCACATAACAATCGAATCAAACATCAATTTCAATATTCATCATATATATATAATTAAATCAATTATTATCTTTATTAAATTCATTTAGTGGGAAGAGAACCATGGTAGACTCGGAGATCCTGCTAGTCTACCCTGTGACCCGGATATTCTGCCAGTCACATATCAACAATTGGGCCATTATCAAAAACTTCTCTTCCTAGTGGGCACACCTCTTCCCAAAGTTGTTACTAGTATCCCGGATATCCTGCCAAATACCACTTTGAGAAGAACAGATAATATCGGTTCACATCGTATAAATATATCGGAGGCATAAAGCCCAAAGATTGTGTTCATCATTTTAGGAGGTACCATCCCAAAGCTATCCTCCCACTATTAATTTATTACAATCACATACAATAAGGGAAATTCAATAATGTCATAATTATCATATTTGAAAATTTCTTATTGGAATATATCAGTTGCTCAAGGGCATCATAACTTTCCAAACTATTCAAATATTCAATATAAGGTCCAACTCATATCCATTATCATATATCTATCAGAGTAAAGTTCAAATCCAACTATCATTTCATAATTCAAATATCTTTCAGAGTAAAGTCCAAATCCGACTATCATTTCATAATTCGAATCATATTAGAGTAAAGTCCAAATCCGACTATCATTTCATAATTTAAATATCTATCAGAGTAAAGTCCAAATTCGACTATCATTTCATAATTCGAATCATATCAGAGTAAAGCCCAAATCCAACTATCATTTCATAATTCAAATATGTATAAGAGTAAAGTCCAAATTCGACTAGGGTCTGCAAATGGCTCCCCCTGTCCGGGTAATAGCTTAACACTAGGATTCATAGGTATATCAATGGGTTTACATCCCAACATACCAGTCTCATAGGATATCTAGTGCATACTTCGTCTGACAAATGAAAATGTCCTGCCTAGATTGTGCCACTTCGATTCTTAAGAAACATCGAAGTTTGGAAGATCTTTGGTGAGAAACTGATTGAATAAGTACTTCTTTAACTGATCAATCCCAGCTTGATCGCTGCCAGTAATAATGATGTCATCAACATAGACCAGGAGATAGATGCACTGGTGAGAAGATCTATGCCGATAGAAGACAAAATGATCGGCTTTACTTAGGGTTAAACTAAAGGATCGAACAACGAAACGAAAACGACTAATTCAGGCCCAAGGAGATTGCTTAAGGCGATATAAAGATTTATGAATCTTACATTGTAACATCCCAGTGGCTGACGAGGGCGGGGAGTGATCACCGGTGCAAAGAGGCATGGACAACAAGCGACTCCTGGCAGGCATCCAGCGGATGGGTACATGAATGAATCGAATACACACTCGAAAGAGAGAGATTCTATAGATTCTACAGGTATAGGAATCTACAGGTTGGGATAGCTTCAACATCAACATCAACAACACCTTTATCCCAAATTAATTGGGGTCGGTGGTAGATGAACCCACATGAAAGATACAAAACAGTTGAAAAAAAAAAAAAAAAAAAAAAACACAAATAAAATAAAAATATAAAATAAGATAAAATAAAATAACAATATATGTATATATAAATAAATAAAAGTAAAAAAGAAAGGGACAAGAAGAAGTGGGGGAAATGAAGGGGAAAAGGACTAAAAAGGGATCATCTGGAACATAGGAATAACAGCGGGTCTAACCCTCCACCATACTTATAGCTTTTCTCCATTCCGTTCTAAGACATACTGTCCGCCAATCTATATCCCACTCCATTAAATCTTGTTTTACTACTTTCCCCCAAGTAAGCTTCGGTCTACCTCTGCCTCTTTTTGTGTTGAGCTCTTGGTAACAAACTTCTGTTCTTACAGGAGCATCCATTGGTCTTCTCATCACGTGCCCAAACCACCTCAATCTATGTTCTCTCATCTTCTCGGCTACCGGTACTACTCCGACCTTTCGTCGAATATCTTCATTTCTTATCTTATCCATCCTTGTGTAACCACACATCCACCTTAACATCCTCATCTCTGCTACTCCCATCTTATGCTCATGTTGCCTATGTGCTGGCCAGCATTCTGCTCCATATAGCATTGCCGGTCTTACTGCCGTTTTATAGAATTTTCCTTTTAACTTCAGGGGGATTTTGCGGTCACACAAAAAAGCAGATGCACTGCGCCATTTCATCCACCCTGCTCTGATTCTGTGATTTACATCCTCATCAATCTCTCCACCGTTTTGTAAAATGGAGCCCAAGTATTTAAAAGCATCTTTTTTGGGTACCTCTTGACCATTTAGATGCACAGGTTCTTGGTCCTCATCTCGTACCAGAGAAAACTCACACTTCAGATACTCAGTCTTGCTTCGACTTAATGTGAATCCTCTGGATTCCAATGTGCTTCTCCACAATTCAAGTTTTCTATTAACACCCTCCTTGCTCTCATCAATGAGCACAATATCGTCTGCAAAAGGCATACACCATGGCACTTCCTCTTGAATATCTTTTGTTAGTTCATCCATAACTAAGGCAAAGAGGTAAGGACTTAGAGCCGACCCTTGGTGTACACCTACCGTGATAGGAAAATAACTTGATGATCCCTTACAAGCTTTTACACATGTAGTAGCCCCATCATACATATCCTTGATTGCCTTTACATACTTTAATGGAACCTTTTTCTTCTCCAGGACCCACCATAAAACTTTCCTTGGAACCCTATCGTATGCTTTCTCAAGGTCTATGAACACCATATGCAAGTCCTTTTTCTTTTCTCGGTATCTTTCCATTAGTTGTCGCATCAAGAAAATTGCTTCCATGGTACATCTTCCTGGCATAAATCCAAATTGATTTACAGAAACCTTGGTATCTCTCTTCAAGCGATGTTCAATAACCCTCTCCCACAACTTCATAGTATGGCTCATTAGCTTAATGCCTCTATAGTTTGAACAATTATGTATATCTCCCTTGTTTTTGTAGATAGGCACAATCATACTTTTCCTCCATACATCAGGCATCTTATTCGTCTGGAGAATCTTATTAAAAAGATTGGTCAACCATTTTATTGCCACATCCCCCAGGGCTCTCCACACTTCAATAGGGACACCATCAGGCCCTAAGGCTTTATTAGTCTTCATCCTCTTTAAAGCCTCCTTAACTTCATGTGTATTAATTCTGCGTACAAATCTTCTATTCATATCATCACACGCGTCCTCTAAGTCCACCTCGCTTGTATCTCCATCCCCATTATACAGCTTGTTGAAGTATTTCAACCACCTTTCATTTACATCTTCATCTCTCACCAGAAGTTTTTGATTTTCATCCTTGATGCATCTAACTTGGGTGAGGTCTTTACTTTTCTTATCCCTTATCTTTGCAAGTTTATAAATACCTCTTTCACCATCCTTGCTCCCAAGATTTTTATACAACTCGTCGAAAACCTTGCCTCTAGCTTCTCGCGCTGCTTTCTTTGCATTTTTTATCGCCAATCTAAACTTTTGCAGGTTCTCTGCACTGGGACTTTTATGCAAAGATCTAAAGCACTCCTTCTTATGTTTAATTGCCTCTTGCACCTCTCCATTCCACCACCATGTTTCCTTTGTATGAAATCCATTTCCTTTGCTTTCTCCCAACACCCTCCTTCCCAAATTTTGAATACACTTAGCCATCTTATTCCATGTTGCATTTACTCCTCCATCAAACTCCCAAGGTCCTTCGTGCAACATTCTATCATTGAACTCTCTCTCTTTACCCTCCTTAAGCTTCCACCACCTTATCCTTGGATTCTGAGCCCTCTTCTTCATTGTACGCACTTTGTTGAACCGAACATCCAAGACTACCAGCTTATGTTGCGTAGCGACACACTCTCCAGGGTAGACCTTACATTCGACACAAGAAGTTCTATCTTCTCTTCTAGCCAGAAAGAAATCAATCTGACTACGATTATGGCCACTATGAAAAGTGATTAGGTGTGACTCCCTTTTTTGAAAAAAGGTGTTCACTAACATCAAATCGTAGGCTAGTGCAACATTCAAGATATCTTCTCCAGTCTCGTTTCTCGTCCCATAGCCAAAACCTCCATGGATTCTATCAAAACCTCCATTGCTTTTACCAACATGACCATTTAGATCTCCTCCTACGAAAATCTTCTTCTCTCTAGGTATTCCCCTCAAAACCTCCTCCAAGTCTTCCCAAAATTGGCTTTTATCAGTTGGTTGCAATCCAATTTGGGGTGCATACACACTGAGGATATTCAGGATTAAGTCACCCACAACAAGCTTAACCAGAATAATCCTGTCGCCTTTCCTTTTGACGTCCACAACTTTATCTCTGAAACTTTTATCGATCATAATTCCAACACCATTTCGACTCTTGTTCGTACCTGTGTACCATAACTTGAAACCAGTTCCATCCACTTCCTTGGCCTTTTCTCCAGCCCACTTTGTTTGTTGCAAACAAACAATATTCACTTTCCTTCTAGCAAAAACATCTGCCAACTCCCTCAATTTACCCGTTAAGGTTCCTATGTTCCAGCTTCCCAATCTCATCCTTAACCCCTGGACTGTGCTTGCCCGCCACGCTCGCCCATCTGCGTGTTGGGACCCTGGCATACTTCTCACCAAATTCGGGTGAAGACCTGGCGCCTTGCCTTGGGGCAACCTAGCCCACTTTTCACTACTCCCCGGGCCCGATGTAGCACCTTGCCTTGTGGCAAGGACCCTAGCCCATTTTTCGCTACACCCGGGGCCCGATGCAACGCGTCGCTATGAAGGGTACGCCCCAACGAAAAATCATATAGGTTCATCACATAAAAATATAGCTGTTTTTTACAACCGGTTCGCAACACCTGACCCTAAATATCAGAATGAACAATAGAAAAGGGAGCATCAACTCTTTTATTGAAGGGAATGCCAGGTATATAATAAACAAAGATTAAAGTCAAAAAGGGAGTTGGGGTGGCTTGCCCAAGTCCACGAGCAGGGGCCTTAGTGCCATAAGCAAGAGGAACAGAAGGTAGATTATTAGAATAAGAAAGTGAAATAAAGAGATCCTTATTACCACAAAGGTAATTAGTAGCACTTGAGTCAATTATCCAGGGTCCAAGAGATGATTGAGAAAGACAAGCAACATGATTACCAGTGTCTTGAGTAGGAGGCTGGGAAAAAACCTTCACGAAAAGTGCCTAATAGTCGGCACTTGAAAGAGTTACTGATCTAGTTGAAGGTGGTGTAGCATCAGTCTGAGCAAAGTTGGCAGTTTGTGGCTTCAAGTGAGGATACTTCCTATTACAATGTTTTTCAAAATGTCCAAGGTTTTGGAAATAATTGCAAGGCCACCCTGTCCACGTCCGCGACCGCATCCACTATTCCAATTGGAATCATTGGCTTTAGAAATGAACGCAGTTGAATCGATGGCTGGAACATGTGTGGGTGCTGCAGATTTATCCTTAAGATTCAGAAGGCGCTGAAAAGTTTGTGACAGGATAGGAGTCTTAGCACTGGTTAGAATATTCTCACGAACACTTTTTAACTTCTCTTAAAGGTGGGAAAGGGTTACAACCATAAATCAGCGCTCCACCTGCTTCTTGTATGCAGAGGCATCTATAGTATGAGGTAACACAGCTAAGAATTCCTACATCAAAGAACGAATCTTACCAATATAAGTTTCTATTCGAGCATCTGGGATTTGCGCAATTCCATTATCTGAGAATCAATGGAATAAAGCTGCTGAATGTCATTGGTGTAGAGGTTTTTGGTTCTTCCCATACATCATAGCAGGTCTCAAGTGGATGAAAATGTCTATAACTGCCAGATCAATGTATTGCCAAAGGATACTCAGCAATTGAGCATCGATCTTTTCCCATTCAGATATCTGATCCTTTGGAATATCAGCAGACTTGGTTATGAGATGTTTCTCGTGTCCTTGACCAGTAAATCAGATCTTAAGGGAGCTAGGCCAGGTCTTGTAAGTAGCAGATTCGGTCAGTTTCGTTGTCGTTGTAAGTAGACGATAGGGTTGGTCTATGGATTTTTTTCCTTTTTCCGCATTTCGCTCAACTTCCTTTAAAGTGACACACTTTTCCCTTTATTATTACTATTTTATTAATCTAGAAGGTTATTTGGGCTTTGCCCATTAGGTCATTTAACCTATTAATATAGAAAACTTTGGTACAGTTTTATACACAGTTGAATACAATACCTTCATACTCTTAAGTTGGAACAACAACTTGTGTTCTAGGAAAACCTCGTTTCCGCAAACAAAAAAATAAAATTGTGATCACTGTTCATTGTTGTATTGTTCATCACCGACAAAAAAATAAAGGTGTGGGTCCCACCTCTTTGTGAGAGTGAAAGGATATAAGTTGTGTCATTTAAAAGGATAAATACTTTTTCCAATAATAAAATACAATACTATTTCAATATTATTTCTAACAGGATTGAATACCATATACAAGGGAAAAACTTATGGACCTTATTGAAATACGAAAAAATGGTTTTGCTAAATTGATATATACTGATTTACACTGATATGGTATATATACAAGAGTAAATAAGAAAAAAATGGATAAGAATGACTCAACAATGAGTCATCATCCCTATCCTATCTAATCACTAATTAATAGGAAATAAAAGAGGAAAGATTCTAATCCTAATTTCCTACACTCCCCCTCGACGTTTTGATGTAAATGTTGATCATTCCCAACTTGCCAATCAGGTCTTCAAAGGGTGGCCGGAGTAGGCCATTAGTGAGGATATCTGCAATCTGCTCTTTGGTGGGAATATACATCATACACATACTTGCATCATCTAATTTTTATATGATAAAGTGGCTATCAACCTCCACATGTTTTGTTCTTTCATATTGAACTGGATTTTGAGTGGCGATCAACTTCCACATGTTTTGTTTTGTCATATTGAACTGGATTTTGAGCAATAGTGACAGCAACCTTATTATCACAATACACTCTACTAGGCAGGGAAAAAAAGATCTTCAATTCCTCAAGCAGTCTTCTTAATCAAATTCTTTCACATATACCATGGGCTAGAGCTTGAAATTCTGCTTCTACACTGCTCCGGGCAACAACTGTTTGTTTCTTACTTCTCCAGGTCGCAAGATTTCCCCAGACTTAGGTATAATATCCTGAAGAGGATCTTCGGTCCAATGCAGAGCCAGTCCAATCTGCATCTGTATATATTTCAAGCATCCTCTTGTGTCCCCTTTTAAAGAAAAATCCTCAAACATAGGTGTTTTTGAGGTACTTAAGGATCCTATAAAATGCACTTAGGTGTTTTACTTAGGAGAATGTATGAATTGACTAACCATGCTGACTGACTGCAAATGCAATATCAGTTCGAATGTGAGATAAATAGATCAACTTCCCTGCCAAACTCTGGTACTACTCTCTGTCAACTTCTTTCCCATCTTCGATTCCCAATTTAATATTGGGTTCAACAAGAGTCTTTGTTGGCTTGCACCCAAGCATTCCTGTCTGTTGTAACAGGTCTAGAATATATTTCTTTTGAGTTAAGGAAATTCCTTCCTTACTACGAGCAACCTCTATGCCAAGAAAATATTTGAGAGATCCAAGATCATTCAGTTCAAATTGGTCAGCTAAACACTTCTTCAAAGAGCTTATCTCCTCACAATCATTACCTGTGACAATTATGTAATCAATATAAACAATGATAATGACAATTTTACCATCATCAGAGTGTTTAAAAAATAAAGTGTGATCAACCTGAGCTTGGAGGAATCCGCTTCCCTTAACAACTTGAGAAAATTTCTCAAACAACTCTCTAGGGGATTGTTTAAGACCATAGAGAAACTTTTTAACTTGCATATTGAATCGTCTTCAGTTTCAAAACTAGGTGGTGGATCCATATAAACTTCTTCATGTAAATCACCATTCAAGAAGGCATTCTTTACATCGAATTGTAGCAAGGGCCAATTAAGGTTAGCAGCAAGTGATAGTAGAACTTTGATAGCGTTAAGCTTGGCAATAGGCACAAAAGTGTCCTGATGATCTATCCCATGAGTCTGAGTGAATCCCTTAGCAACTAATCTGGCCTTATACATGTTGATGCCGTTATCTGCATTGTATTTTATTGTGAACACCCACTTGCAACCTACTGTTTTCTTTCCCCTGGGTAATGCTTTAGACTCCCAAGTTTCATTTTTTTTAATTGTATCCATTTCTTCAAAGACAGCCAACTTCCAATTTGGATTATCAAGGGTTTTTTGGATATTTTTTTGGAATCCTCTTACTATCCAAGACAGTGTTGAAGGCACGAGAACCTGGAGATAATGTGTCATAAGAGACATATTGAGAGATATGATGTGAAGTACAAGACCTGATTCCTTTCCTGAGAGAGCAATTGGCAAATGCAAATCCTCATAGGCATATTAGGTTGAATCCGGATTGTTGGAACTGGAAGCTGAAGTGGAATCCTGGAAGTGCAAAGAGTCTGGATTATTTACATTTTGAGGAGGCTGTCACCAACTATAAACTAACAATTGTTTCTGCTGATTATTGTCTCCACCTTTTTCCAACTGCTCATCTGCCCCTATTTCCAATTGTGGTGAGTCTTGGGATGAAAGGATGGTTAAGGGAAGAAGTAACACTGGGGGAAGAGGTGATACTGAGGGTTCCCAAGGCTGGTCTTCATCTAGAAGATCCCCCTGAAAAGATGATTGAGAAAAAAAAGATTGACTCTCAAAGAAAGTGACATCCATTAAGACAAAAACCTTTCGGAGAGATGGAGAATAACATTTATATCCCTTTTGAGTGTAAGAATATCTAATGAAGTTTGGATTGTTGGTGTGATGGAACTTGGACAAACATAACACATCTGAACAATTTTGGAGGAAAAGAAGATATAGAAGTAAGAGATGGGTACTTCTTTAAAAGACATGATAGTGGGGACTAAAATTAAAGAACATAGGAAGACATTCAGTTGATAAGGTAGGTGGCAGTTAGAACGGCGTCCCCCCACAAACATTTAGGGACCACTCATGGTGAGCATAAGAGCTCGAGCAACTTCAAGAATGTACCTATTTTTTCTCTCTGCTGCCCCTTTCTGTTGAGGAATATCGGGACATGAAATCTGATGGAGGATGCCTTGATGAGACAAGTATTCACCAAGGATAGAATTGAAATACTCTTTACCATTGTCTGTTCGAAGAATTTTTATGGAGGTGCCAAAATGGTTTTGATCCATGACATGAATTTTTTTGAAAATTTGGACAATATCAGACTATTCTTTGCGAAGATAGACCCAACGCACTCGAGAATGGTCATCAATGAATGTTACAAACCATCTCGAGTTAGAACTATTTTTTACATGAGATGGACCCCTTATATTACTGTGAACAAAGAGTAAAAGGGGACGATTCTTTATATTTCCTCATAGGTTAGAATACGGAGAATGTTTTGCTAACTGACAGATGTCACAAGAAAAGACACTGGGTTTTTATGGATAAAGAGATTTGGTAACAATTTTTGAAGGTAATTGAAATTTGGATACCTTAACCTACGGTGCCACAACATAACATCATCACCACTATTGGAAGTAAAGAAAGGATTATTTGCAGCAAATGTGTAGAGTCCTTCTTCTTCTTTAGCATTGCCAATTATCCTCTTCGATTCCTGTTCCTAAAAAACAGGACCATGCACCGAAAATTATGCAACACAACTAAGCTCTGTTGTCAACTTATTAACAGAAATGAGATTGCATGCTAAATTAGGAACATGTAGGACAAAATTTAACATAATCTTCTCGGAGAGTTTAATTGATCCTTTCCCTCTAACTTGAGAAAAGCTTCCATCTGCTATTTTGACCCGAGAATTCCCATAGCATGTATTATAAGAACAAAACAATGTTGGATTACCTGTCATGTGGTCCGAGGCCCCATAGTCAAGTATCCAATGAATACTACCACCAACATGAAATGAAGTACCTTGTTTAGTCACAAGGCTAGATGATACACTGGGTTCAGGGCTCATAGATGTCGTTGTAGAGCTGGTGGAGGAAGAAATTATCCAAGCTTCCCTTTGCACCTTGGCAAGGTCACCTCCCGGAAGAACAATAGGGTGGTTGGTAGTTACTACTACACTTGAAAATAGAAGAGTACCCATCCACAAACTAAATGGTCCATTTGGTTTTGAATGTTCCAACACCAGCATTCATATCTTTGGGTACAACATCTCCATGATACATCAGACAACCTGCCATGTGTTTTCCATGGCAAGGATCACACTTGGCCACCATCAATATAAGAAAATACAAGGTTAGTCAGAAAAAAAAAGTTTTCAATCATCGATTTGAACCTTGGAATAGATAGAGGAGAAGAAGACGCACCGAACGACACCTGTATGGATCAGAACACGAACCAACACGACGACGCGTGGCTTACACGCGCGAAGAACAACTGCGAGTGGGCGTGCGTGAGAGATACTTGCAAAGCTGTTTCAGGAATGTGGAAGCGCGTGGGTGGTCAGACTCCAGTTGGCCTTCTTGAAACTTATAGATCGGCTCGTTCTAATTCCGATGGTATAAGTTTTGGCTGGAAAAGTCACCAGAAATATTTTCCGGTGGCGGCTGATGGTGGTTGACGGTGGTGAATGACTGAGATTCAACCGGTTTTGGCCTTCTAGAGTGTGGTCCCTGTACTTCGTTGTTGGGGCTTTGTAGGAAGAGACGACAACTTTAACAATGGCTAGACTTTGAGTTTTCCGACGATGTGTCGCTAGTTTGATGGTGATTTTGGTGGTTGATCTTTCTCAGGACCAACCTGCTCTTGATACCATATTGAAATATGAAAAATTGGTTTTTTCTAAATTGCTACACACTGATTTACATTGATAGGGGTATATATACAAGAGTAAATAAGAATAAATGGATAAGAATGGGTCAGCAATGAGTCATCAGCCCTATTGTATCTAATCACTAATTAATAGGAAATAAAAGCGGAAAGATTTTGATCCTAATTTTCTACAAACCTAATGCTTTAAAGTTTTGGAGTTTTTAGTCAACTTTGTGTTAAGCGAAGAGTGGAGATCTTCTCGGTGTTTTGGGGCTCTCTTCCTCTACCAATATTTTTATACTCACAAATTTGCCCATAACAATACTTCTAAGCCAAACAGACAAGCATAGATGTTAATCTTGCCTAATATATATATTTTATTTGGCACAATGCATACAATAGAATTAATGCATTACATATTAACACAGAATAACACTTGCCTGTGTCACAGTAAACTTTTCACTTCTTTGACTTGGTGTATCCTTACATATGAATGAATTGTGGATTCTGGTAGAGCTTTGCTGTTCAAGCTTCAAATATTTCTATATTCCCCTCCTTCAATGTATCACTTCTGTGTATAGGACAACTGCATTAGAAATACAGTGATTTCTTGGGATCGATTCAGTTATTTCTTTGTGCTGGTCCATGTACTCAGAAAAAGAAAGGCGGGAGACACCTTTAGATGACTCACCTAGATAGTTCCAAATAACTATAAGCTATAGCCTCCTGGAAATTTTCCCACATTTTATGCAGACATCGAAGAGAAATGTATGTATATGTCAGATTTGTGTTCATTTAGGGATTTTTGTTGACCTGTTACTAGGTATGAGCTCTTATTGCAGTTTCGTTTTCTTTGCTTTGTAAAATGAAATGTTAAATGCATTATTATTCTTTATTTTGCATGAACACCTTTAATGTGGGACTGACGTAAATACTTCTGAGTAGGTTGCCAAATATTGGACAGACTTGAAAATAACTCTCGCACAGTCAAAGGTGCAAAAATAATTGGTCAAGATAATGAAGCGTTGGAACATATTCTGCTACCCCTGAGAAAATGGTCGAAAGGATCTCAAAATATTTGCAGGTAAATATGAGTAGCATGCTGAAAACTATATGATGCATTTTTTTATCTATATGAATCTTGTTTAATACTGATTTTCCTTTGATGTCGGAGTGAAATTGTGTAAAGGTGTGATCTTTATCAGATAACGATCACTAATGCATGGCAAGACATGAATTTTTCACGTCTGTAGTGAAAAAGGATGCAACTTTTGCATCGACCATGCATTCCTATGGAAACCAAAACTCAATAGAATTCATGCAAGGTTTCAAGCTGATACCTTTGGCGCTGGTTTGCCTATGAATAAGATATCTACTTTAGGATATCGTGTCTTTATTGATGGTAATCTAGTATCCTAGAAAAGTAAGAAACAGAATGTTGTTGCATAGTCCATTGCAGAAACTGAGTATATAGCCATGTCAATGATTAGTTGCGTATTTTATGGTTGAATTACTTAATGAGTTGAAGTTTGAAAACATTGATCGTATGAAGCTATACAGTGACAATTAAACTGCTTTACACATTGCAACAAATCTGGTCTGCCATGAGATGTCAAAGCATATAGAGATTGATGGTCACTTAAATAGGGAGAAAGTTCTTTCCAAGGAAATCATCGTAGAGTTTGTTAATTCTATTGAGCAATTGACTAATATCCTCACAAAATCGTTGATAATATGTTCGATTTAGGGAAATAGATCCTATATCTCATTTTTTGGAATTGTATGTTAGGATTTAATTTGATTTAATTTCCTTTTATTAGAGATTGTAAATCCTTCTATATAGATACAATTGGGCTTCTAAGGAATTCCTCAAGAATTTCAAAAATCCTTTTATTCATTCTTGACTAGTTTTAGTGGGTTAGAGGGCTTGTGAAGGTGTTCCTCATATGCAGCTTTGTGTTATATTTTGGTTGGATCATAATGCTCATATTTTCTGGACTGTTTTTGCCCTTTTTATGAGAGTTGTCTTCCTAAGATCTCTTTGGGTATCCTTTGATTGTTATCTTCTTTTTGGTAGTTTATTGTGAAGGATGTTTTACTCTCCACTTTGTACACTGTCATTGTGTCGGTAATGTTTTTTTTTCTTTCCTAAAACTAAAAGAAACTGGTAAATGATGCAAAAGTGCTACTATTAGTATGATTCACTTGCACATCACTGCTGTGCATCACGTAACCTTTTTAAGTGGGCCTGATTGTTTCTAGACTATGTCATCGTCTTTTATCTTGTATATTGTAATGCCAAAACCTGAGTCCATTGTTTACCTGTAGTCTTTCCTCGTCGTATAATTTATTTGCCAAAAGTATAGGAAGTTCCCTTGTGGTGTTTTTCTATTCTATCTTTTAATTCTAAATAAAATAAATTAAATCCAGTGGTTTAATGAGTGGGTATTTATATAGTTATTTAAAATTTATAATTCATTTAGTATTTACTATTTCAGTGACAATTACATGAAAAAGTAAATAAATGTATTTCAAGACCCTAGTAAAATGTTTATTTAATTAATTATCTATGAAGTCTAACTGCCTGTTAGGAATGCACAGTGATCAAGATGTTCCTGATTCAGACCAGTCACTAAGGATTCTCTCAAACCTAGTTGCGGCAGGTGCTTTTAGTTCTATTGGGCGAACGGATGAACTATTAAGTGAACTCCTTATGTTTACCAAATCTGTTATAGCCATTAAATCCTCTGAAGCTATTGACTTGATAGCAAAGGTACCTTACTAAGGCATTTGATCTATTAGTTTCTTTCTTAAAGAATTATATACTGCCAATTTTTGTTTCTGTGACTGATTAAAATGCTAGATCTAGGTATGATATGTGCTAGAATATCTTAGTTTTCTAGAATATCTTAGAAGATTATCAGAATCTAGTGTAGAATTGTTTAGTTTAATAGTTATGTAACTGAGTAAGCAATATTAGGAATTGTTTCCTGAATTGTTTTCTTATTTAATTTCGATTCGGAGACTTCTTGTGTTAATGGGCTAGGGCTTATACTAGAAATACTACAATATTACTTGGCCTAATTATTAGTATAATTAGCTGTTTTTTCTTTGTATTTTATACACATCTTATCATGTCCATCTCATATTATCCATTACGTTTTTACTCTCTTTTACTCTTTTCGGACTTGAACCCTAAATTTTGACATGGTATTAAACTTGGCATTTTTTTATTCAAGAACTGTCCTATTTTTTTGTCTGATAGGTTGTGAAAATAATTGGCAACATTTTGTCCCAAGAATAGGTTGGGAAACTTTAGATGTTTTATTTTGTGCAGAGTTTCTCTATCACAAAAATTATGCTAGATAATGGTGGGAGTTGCACTTCAAGCTCATATTTCATGTCCATCTCATATTATTTTGTTATTGCTTTGTATTTTTATACACATCATATCATGTCCATCTCATATTATCCATTAGGTTTTTACTCTCTTTTACTCTTTTCCGACTTGAATTCTAAATTTTGACATGGTATTAAACTTGGCATTTTTTTATTCAATAACTGTCCATCTATTTTTTTGTCTGATAGTTTGTGAAAATAATTGGCAACATTTTCTCCCAAGAGTAGGTTGTGAAACTTTAGATGTTTTATTTTGTGCAGAGTTTCTCCATCACAAAAATTATGCTAGATAATGGTGGGAATTGTACTTCAAGCTCATATTTCAATCACTGGGTTGAATTTTTTGGAATTTATTCTCAGGTGATACTCTTTCTATCATGTAAATTCAAATCTTGTAATGCTAATTTGTGTTAAATGCCACAAAGTAAATCTAAATTGACATGGTTTATTTTATCGATTTCCTAATAACCGAGACATGTCATACATTAGATATTAGTTTGTACAACAGATAATTGAAATAGTTCTTGGTAATTATACTTTTCTTAGATGTTTGCTTCAATCTCAGTTAATAATACATATTTGCAGGTAGTAACTTCGATTAGTGATGCATCTGGGAGAGTTCTGTATGAGTCTACTGCCTGCATTACAGTCATGCTGTCTAGAGTTGCTCAGGTGTTGAGATCATCTCCTCGAATTTCAGGCCCAGAGACACTGAAAGAAACAGCTAACAGAATTTTAGACCATGCTAAAACATCTGGTTTAGTGGACCATTTGTGTCTGTGCTTAGCCACTTCAGGCTCGAGCCTTATTTCAGGTTCTTCGACTATGCTACGGGCAGCTTCTGAAGCATGCAGAGCTGTCTGGTCTTTGATTAATGCACTGGATGTCCTTTTTGTGAATAAAAGTGCCATTTTGTTTCCCATAAATGCTCTGTGGAGTCCTTCTTTGCATAGGATGGAAATTGTGGATCATGAGCAAGATCCCTTTGTTGAAGCACAATCAACAAAAGTTGTTGATGCTATGACGAGGGCATTCCTGAAATCCAAACCTGTTCAGGTTGCTGTTTACTATTGTTTTCATCAACGTCTTGAGTCTGCAATGAGTTGTTGTCTACAGGTACTTGTGGCTTACCCCTTGCCTGTGTTTTTGGGATTCCTTTTGTGAAAGCAAGTTCTATTTGGTAGATAATGTACATCGATCCAAGATATTTTTTTGATTTTTAATAAATAAGTTGCAGCACTTATTTGTTATTGACATAAAGGTTGAAGTTGTAGCTATGACATAGTAAAAGGTAATTCAAATTTTTATATTCTTTTTCTTTTCAGCTTTTGTCAAGGTGCTGCCTACATAATGGAATTATTCCAGCTCTCCTTTGTGGTCTGCCCAGTTCCCTTCCTGTGACTACTGTTGTTAGTGGCGCAGGTGATGGAACTATTGTTTCTGAGGTTTTCTCTGTTTTGTCAATATGTAGTTCCTCTATTAACAAAGCTGCACAGAGTGGAGAACCCAGTAACATTAAGTGCAAATTAACCAATCCTTCTGCTCTGGTTCGCCATTCATGTCTCATTCTTGCAATAATTGCACAATGTTTAAAGTCAAGTGGAAGGAATTCGGCAATTTTTATGCTTACTACCTCACCAAAGAAACAGCTTGCTCGACTTTCAGTGATTGCTCATTATATTTCTGACGATAAAACAAAAGTCTCTTTCCAAACTCAAAGTGCATCAGCCATGTTGGCTTTGGCATCCATTCTATCCCTTGAATCTGGGGCTTTGGTTGAGTCTCCAATATCTGAAATTGCTATGCCTTTAATTCCTCGAACTTCTGCACTAAGTGACCATCTTAAATTTTCATTTCGCAATGAAAATGAATTGGACCCTGGCAACTTTAGTGGGAAGCTCTCGTATTGGCAAGGGGTAAGAGATGGGTGTGTTGGTCTTTTAGATTCCAGACTCAAGTGGGGAGGACCATTAGCTGTTCAGCAGTTGTGCGCAACTGGTATTCCTTTTCTTCTTATTGGCTTATTAGGCAATGATGTTTTAAATGATTCTCATGGAAATGAGCGCGTATATGATAGAGTTGGATTATCTCCTATTGGTGTTGTATGGACAGTAACATCGATATGTCACTGTCTTTCTGGTGGTGCTTTGACTTTTCGTCAGATTTTGATTAGGAACGAACATATAAAGCTCATCACCAACTTGATATGTGATGTTCATCTGAAGTTGGTAAAATGCTGGATTGGACCTGGTGGAGGAGGAGCAGGAGTCAGAGATATAATAAATGCAGTAGTAGATCTCTTAGCATTCCCTTTTGTTGCTCTGCAAAATGCACCTGGCTTGCCATCAGCCACTGCTTCTGTCAGTAGTGGGTTTCTTCTTAATGTTGGTTCCCCTGGTCAAAGAGTATGCATGGACGACAAGGATATAGTTAAGGCAATAGAAGAAGACATGGGAAAATACATCAAGATCCTTGTGGAGGTAAAATCTTCTTTCAGTTCCTTCTTCTGGGAATTTTTTTGTAGAAAGGGGCCTAAATCAAATATTTTACCTGTCATCATTCTATCATGTTATAATGAGATGCTATTCGTTTTCCTTACTGAGCAGTAGTTGATGATGAGATACTCTTATGTTTGAAAGATCACTGCTGGTGCACTCTTCTGTGCATCAATTATTAGTTTTTGTGATGACAATTCATTTGTTGGTTTTATTTCATTAACTTTTTTCAATTCTAGAAATTCATATTTAATACTGCCTACTATTTATATTTTGTTTTCACTTGACTTCTCGTTGAATTGCTATAACTTCAATGCTCGTAATGTTATCTTTACTAGTTGCTTTGAATTTTTCAGGTGGGTGTGCCTGGCATTGTCCTTCGTTGCCTAGATCATATGGAGTTGAATGATTTGGGAAGGCCCGTTGCCTTTCTTGCTAAAATGGTATGCCACCGACCTTTAGCATTGCAACTAGTAAGTAAAGGTCTTCTGGATCCAAATAGGATGAGAAGGTTGTTTGACTGTTTGAGTCCAAAAGAGGTCACACTGGATGCTCTTATGATAATTTCTGATCTTGCTCGTATGGACAAGGTTAGTTTTCATTCTTCATCAAATGGTTTCGTTTTATGATTGAAATGCTGAAGTTGATCGGTTATTGGTTAATTATTTCTATTCAGTTGTTTATGTGTTTTTGTGTAAAACAAAATTAAGATAATCCTTATTTTGGGATTCCACGGGTGGTGTCAATCTCAATTTAATCCTCAAAAGTTGTATTTTTAGTTTTGAATTTATTGAAATTTTGGTTTTTGATAGAGCCTTTTAGCCGAACGAACCCATCTAGTATGATAAGGCTTAGGTTATAGGTATTTGATCAGTTATCGAATGATCATGCTTATGTTTCCTGGCATCCAATGTATAGCATAGCTTGAGACTTGAGTTATGATTTGAGTAAATACCCTTTTTGTTCCCTAACAAAAAACACGGTTCCTACTTTAGTCCCTTACAAAAAAAAATTAGTCAATTGGTCCCTAACAAATTTAAAGTGAACCCATTTAGTTGAAATCGTGGTCCCTCACAATTTTAAAAAAGACCCATATTAGTCCCTCAAAAGAACTAAAATGGGTCTGCTTTGAATTTTTTAGAGACCAACTGACTAATTTTTTTTTGTAAGGGACTAAAGTGGAGACCGTGTTTTTTGTTAGGGACTTAAAAGGATATTTACTGTTATGATTTTATTTTGGACATGCATAGTTGATTCATGTGTATTTGGTTTTAGATATTCCTTGATGATAGTTCAAAACTCGTTAGCACTTTCTGTTTCTGATGTTCAGGGATTCTATGAGCCGATTAAAGGTGCTTCTCTTTTGGAGTTCTTAAAATGTTTTCTTTCACACGAGGACCCCAATATGCGTGCCAAAGCTTGCAGTGCTCTTGGAAACATGTGTCGTCATAGCGCCTATTTTTATAGTTCACTGGTAAGTATGACAAATATAATATTGCTCCCTGGAGTCTTTATGAACACAATGAAAAAGAAAAAAAATGATATATCGTCTGAACAAAGCAAATTTCTGAACTTTTTTTGGTGATACTCCTCTACCTCAGCCTTTTTTCGCTCCTATTATTTTTCTTTTTCGTTTCTTGTTGAGCAATGATGTCTTTCTAAGTTCTTTTTGATATATGCATATTTCTAAAATGGAATTATACTGTTGCCGTTATCAAAAAGGAAAAAAAGTGTTCTAAAAGAGCTTGCGTAAGTCTGTTTAACAAATACTTAGAAGTGAAAAGGGTAAATAAAATAAGGGTTTATTAGTGTATGTACTTAAAAGAATATAAGTTGTGTCTTTTTAATTTTTTACACTATGTACTTGAAGTGAATGAGGAGAGAGAAAAGAAAATAACTTTTCATATTTGAACTATGTATTACTCATAGTATATAGTATTAAAAATTAAAAAGATGTAACTTATATCACTTGAATATAAAATAATATGTTGTGTACTAGGTTGTCAGTAGCGGCCCGTAGCGCAGCTAAACCGCTACCGTAGCGGGTAGCGGCAGTCGGCCGCTACAAATCGCGACGCTACGCGACATTGGCCGTAGCGGAAGGTAGCGGCGTAGCGTAGCAGCAATACCTCTACCCGCTACACCACTCCCATGTTGAAATTTGATGGAGAATCCAGAGATGATGATGATTTTCTTTATTAGTTCACTTCTTGTACTTGACTATTTGACAATTTTATTGTTCAGTTGTGTTTAATTTTGGATCCTTCCTTTATGTTCTTTGTATTTGACATTGATTGTGGAATTATGTGTTTTATTTTGTGTGACTTCTTATGTTTGAGAATTAATACTAAAAGCGGTATTATCTCATTTCTTGACTGTTAGTATAATATATGTGGAATTAATACTTCACCGTAGCGGTAATACCGCTACCCGCTACACCGCTATACCATTTTCGGGGTCGGCCGCTACCGGCCGCTAACTGCTATTGACAACTATGGTTGTGTATTGATTTAATTCAGAGAGTTACAATATATAGAGACTCTAATGGGCTTATAGGAAAGGTCCAGACCTAATACAATCAGAATAATTACAGACTAATCATATCTAATCATATCTAACACTCCCCCTCAAGCTGGTGCGTATATATTGTGAGCACCAAGCTTGTTACAAATGTATTGAACCCGAGGACCTCTAAGAGCTTTAGTGAAGACATCCGCGAGTTGATCAGAGGAGTTGACGAAAGCAGTCTTGATTTGTCCTGATTGAATCTTTTCTCGAATGAAGTGACAATCAATCTCTATATGTTTGGTCCTCTCATGAAAGACAGGATTAAAGGATATATGTAGCGCAGCTTGAGTATCACAGATGAGTGTCATGGGTTGTTTCTGTTCACAAAGATGAAGTTCTTGAATCAACTGCTTTAACCAGATTAACTCACAGGTAGTATTTGCCATTGCACGATACTCAGCTTCTGCACTAGACCGAGCAACTACAGGTTGTTTCTTGCTCTTCCACGAAATTAAGTTTCCTCCAAAGAAGACACAATAGCCAGAAGTAGAGCGCCTATCCGAGGGTGATCCTGCCCAATCGGCAGCTGAATAACCACAAATTTATGTATTTCCCTGATCTGAATACAACAACCCTTTTCCTGGTGCTCCTTTGATATATCGGAGGATCTTCACAGCAGCATCCCAATGTGAATCACAAGGGGAATCAAGGAACTGACTAGCCGTACTAACAACGAAAGAAATATCTGGCCTAGTCACAGTAAGATAATTGGGCTTCCCAATTAGCCTCTGATAACGTCCAGGATCAGATAACGGCTCCCCCTGTCCGGGCAATAACTTGACATTAGGATCCATGGGTGTATCAACTGGTTTACTCCCCAACATACCAGTTTCTTCGAGGATATCCAAGGCACACTTCCTTTGACAAATAGAAATGCCTTGTCTAGATTGCGCCACCTCAATTCCCAAGAAGTAACGCAGCTTCCCAAGGTCCTTTGTTTGAAATGCACTGAATAAATGCTGTTTTAACTGACGAATTCCGTCTTGATCACTTCCGGTGAGAATGATGTCATCAACATAGACTAACAGATAGATGCACTTGTCAGGAGATGTAATCCTATAAAATACAGAATGATCAGCTTTACTGCGGATTAAGCCAAATGCCTGAACGGCAGAACTGAAACGACTGAACCATGCTCGAGGAGACTGCTTGAGACCATATAAGGATTTTTGAAGACGACACACTTTTCCAGACTCCCCCTGAGCAACAAAACCAGGTGGTTGCTCCATGTAAACTTCTTCTTGCAAATCACCATGAAGAAAGGCATTTTTGATGTCAAGTTGAAGGAGTGGCCAGCGACGAACAACAACAACGGTAAGAAATAGGCAGACAGATGCCATCTTGGCAACAGGAGAAAAAGTATCCCCATAGTCAAGACCAAATATCTGAGTGTAACCTTTGGCCACCAAACGAGCTTTGAGGCGATCAACAGTGCCATCAGGACCAATTTTGACAGTGAATACCCATCGATAGCCGACCACTGACTTTCCGGGAGGAGCATGAACAAGATCCCAGGTGCCATTGGAGTGAAGTGCTTGCATTTCATCAATCATCGCGTGACACCAACCCGGATGAGATAGTGCTTCACCTGTGATTTTAGGAATAGAAACAGACGAAAGACTAGAAACAAAAGTAAAATGTGGTGAAGAAAGTCTATCATAACTCAAGAAACTATAAAGTGGATGAGGGTTGCGAATGGATCGAATACCTTTGCGAAGGGCAATGGGAGTAATCTCTGATGGAGGATCCGGAGGGGAAGAGTCGACTGGAGCAGGCGGTGAGTCAGTAAGAGTCAAATCTGCAGGAGGCGCAGGCTGACGACGCTGATAGGTGAGAAAAGGACGTTCCTCAGGGATGGAGGCAAGGGGTAGCTCCTCTGGGATAGAGTCATCTGCAACTGGTAAAGACAAATCAAGACAAGGAACAGGAAGAACATGATCAACTTGTGTTATCTGAGACGGGACAAAATGAAAAGGTGGTTGATCAAGGAAAGTGACATCAGCCGAAACAATATAACGCTTGAGATCAGGAGAATAGCAACGATACCCCTTTTGAAAACGAGTGTATCCAACGAAAACACACTTGAAAGCTTTGGATGTTAACTTATCTTTACCTGGAGTAAGATCATGAACAAAGCACGTACATCCAAATACATGTGGAGGTAGAGGATAGGAAGGTGCTCCTGGAAATAAAACACTATGTGGCACTTCATTATTAAGTACGGAAGAGGGCATGCGATTGATGAGAAAGTAAGAGGTGATTATAGCATCTGCCCAAAAACGAAGTGGAACATTCATGTGAATTAGTAAGGTACGTGCAGTTTCAACCAGATGTCTATTTTTACGTTCAACCACTACATTTTGTTGTGGAGAGTGTGGGCAAGTGGTCTGGTGTATCGTTCCACGTGTCTCCAAAAAATTAGAAAATTCAAAAGATACATATTCTCTTGCATTATCACTGTGCAGGATTTGAATAAAAGTACCAAATTGAGTAGTTATTTCAGCACAAATTTTTTGATACATTGAAAATAATTCAGAACGATTTTTCATTAAATAAAACCAAGTACAACGAGAGAAATCATCAATAAAGGTGACAAAATATTGAAAACCCAAAACAGACATTGTTTGACTCGGACCCCAAATGTCAGAATGAACAATAAAAAAGGGAGCATCAGCTCTTTTATTGACTTTATTAGCAAAGGAGGGGCGAGTGTGCTTTGCTTGCTGACAAGACTGACAATTTAAAGACTTAAGACTAGATAAAAAAAGAACCATATGCTGACGCTTGGAGAGGCTTGGTTGACCCAGACGACTGTGAAGTAGCTCAGGAGACTCTGTGAGTGAACATGCTACTGGAGAAGGTGGTGCAATCAGATAGTAAAAACCTCGTGAATCAATGCCCGCTCCAATTGTCTTCCCCGTACCTGGATCCTGCATAGAGAAGGATTATTTAGAGAAGGTAACAGTACATGAAAGAGACTGAATCAACTGACTAACAGAGATTAAATTAAAATGAATGTCGGGTATATAATAAACAGAGGTCAAGGCTAAAAAGGGAGTTGGGTTGGCTTCCCCAATTCCACGAGCAGGAGCCTTAGTGCCATCAGCAAGGGTAACAGAGGGTAAATTATTAGAATAAGAAAGTGAAGTGAAAAGATCCTTATTACTGCAAAGGTGATGAGTAGCACCTGAGTCTATTATCCAGGGTCCAAGAGATGATTGAGAAAGGCAAGCAACATGATTACCAGTGTCTTGAGTGGGATGCTGAGAGGAAACCTTCTTGAGAAGTGCCTCATATTCGGCACTGTAAAGAGTTATTGATCCAACAGAAGGTGGTGTAACATCAGTCTGAGCAAAGTTCGCAGTCGGTGGTTTCAAGTGAGGGTACTTCCTGTAGCAGCGTTCTTCAAAGTGTCCAAGATTCTGGCAATAATTGCAATGAGGCCTCTGTCCGAGGCCACCCTGTCCACGGCCACGTCCGCGATCGCGTCCACTGTTCCAAGAATCATTGGAGTGAGAAAAGAATGCAGTGGAATCGGTAGCTGGCACATGTGTGGGAGCTGTTGATTTATCCTTAAGATTCAGAAGGCGCTGGAAAGTGTGTGACAGGCTAGGAGTCTCAGCACTGGTTAGAATATTCTCACGAACACTTTCTAACTCCTTGGAAAGACCAGAGAGGGTTATGACCATAAAGAAGCGCTCCACCTGCTTCTTGTACGTAGTGGCATCTGTTGGTTATGACCATAAATAAAGACCAGAGAGGGTTATGACCATAAAGAACACTTTCTGACTTGGCAGCCGTTGATGGGCCTGATCGCGTTCGGACCATAAAGAACACTTTTCCAAGCCAGTACCGGTTTCCAGCAGAGTTGGTCGCCGGAGGAAGAGGGTTCTGATCGCGTTCGGACCGAGATGAAGACTTGCCGGAAAAGTGCTCCGGCGGCCTGAACAGTGGCTGACGGTGGTTCCGGTGACCGTCAGAGGTGCTGACACGTTCGGGAATTGCTTGAAAGGGACTTACAGTCCTTGATGTCTTGCCGGAAGGACGCACGACAAAGAAAAGATGACTCCTAAGCAATGGGCTTAGGTTTTAAGGCGAAAACAAGGTTTCTGAGCGGAAGCGAGGATCCCCAGAACGAAAGAGCTCTGGTACCAACTTGAATATAAAATAATATGTTGTGATTGATTTAATTCAGAGAGTTACAATATATAGAGACTCTAATGGGCTTATAGGAAAGGCCCAGACCGAATACAATCAGAATAATTACAGACTAATCATATCTAATCATATCTAATCAGACTAATCATATCTAACAATATCTTTTAAATGGATAAATCATTTTCCCATGAACGAGGGTGAGTGAGTCAGGGAAGCTGGGCATTGATTTGAGTGAAGTAGATAAAGAAGAGCTCAGGTCTCTCGAATACTAGGAACACCGGGGGTTGTATCTTCATTTCTCATTTCTGATCTTGTATTCCATTGTTACCGATCGAAAGATAGAGATTTTCTGCCTATTGACACGAGCTGTCGAACTCGCACAAATTAATTAAATCAGGTTTATTAAAATTTTGTAGTAAAGCGTCAACCTGAGTCGTCTCTCAAGGAGTTTGCAATGAACTCAATCGCTCAATTATAAAAATAAAAATAAAAATGGAAACCAAATGAAAACGGAAACTAAATAAAAAGAGAAAATAAGGAGAGACGGAAATTAAAGAAAAACGGAAACTAAAATGGGGGGTTTGAATATGATTGTAAATTTAAACGGAAATGAAAAAAAAGAATAATCAAATTAAAAGCAATCAACCCAAGAATTAGGATTCCAAAGATATCCATCATTGAACAAATAATTACCAAATCGTGATTGATCTCAATTGAATCAGAATCCTTATTTCTAATTGAGAACCCTCTCTAAGCGATCGCTTAACGTTTGGTCGAATACGACGCGTCTACTCACGCAATCGTGGAGTATCAACCCGTTCGACTTGAGTTCATTGGGTTAATCAACCTAACCATTAAATCCAATGGTTAATCTCTTTCCTAAAAACGCTATCGCATATCTCAGATTGAACACCCACAATCGGGCGATGTCAAACCGAGTTGGAAAAAGAAACGAATTTGGTTCAAAATGAGGCGCAGGTCCTCAGGATTCAACCTTGGAATCCTCAACCCTTGGTTTGATTAAAGAAAAGAGGAGAGAGAAAAGACGAAAATTCTCTTAATTTCAAAACTGTAAAATTCAAATTCAAACGAAAAAGATGATCCACAAGGTCCCTAATCTCGCCCTTTTAACCCCTAATCAAGCTGGGCTTCAGGCTCTACAAATCCATCCCAAAATAAAAGGAAACAAAACAGAAATATTGGCTCCGGGCCTCATGTACATTGGGTTCAAAATTATAACTTAAGTTCAAACGTAAAAATAAATTTCCTGCAAAACACGTTCATCTTGGACTCAGCTTTCTACCATCTTTCTGTCCGAATTAGGCTTCAGTAGCTGAAATAGAAATTGTAGCCCTTCCTGTTAGCTGCAAAACGCAACAAGAACGGAGTTAATCGGACATCTGTAGAGTGAGATATGGCCAAAATACGAATGTAGTGTAAATCTGGAAAATTATGACGAAAATCAATTAAACCCAATTAAAATCTAGAATTCTGATTTGACCCAAAAGACCTTTTTTAATTCAAATAAAACCTAAAAATACCAACCAAGAGTAATAAATAAGTGTAACAAAATATGTGTTATAACCTATAAACACTTTTTTTTGTTCTTATATTCGTATCCAGTTCTATCATGTTCTTTTTTGGATGACAGAGCACACATTACTTCATGCACATTCAAAAATATGAAAAAACAAAAGTTGATTATCCGCTTTCTGCTGCTATCGTATTTTCAATTCTCATAATTCCATTGGAATATCCAGGCAAGATATCAAATCGTTAGCATCCTTATTGATCGGTGTTCTGATCCAGACAAACGAACGCGGAAATTTGCTTGTTTTGCTGTAAGTTTTATCAATCCCACTATATTAGTGATGTACATATTATGCACATTTATTTCTTTTTCAGGTAAATTATTTTTGCTTTGGAAGATTGTCATGGTAAACATAAATTGCAGCCTTCTAGTCATTGGAAATTATTTCCCTAGTCCACTTCTCTTTCTTTCTTCTTTCTTCTTCCTCTCTCTCTCCCTCTCTCTGGCGGTGCATTGGTTCCGGATCATTATATATTTGCTCCTAGTCATTGTACTTACTATCACGAAGATTGTTGCCCTTTCTGTTTGGTGTATATCTTTTTCAATTTAGGATGTGTGATGGCTTGGCACTCTATTTGATGAATTTTTGCGAGAAATATTTATTTTATTTATGTAATATATTTTACTTGTAATTAACTGTATATATCTTGTCATTTTAAAGCCTGTTTTTAGAACAGATGCAATATTGCCATGGTTGTAAATATATGCTGCATCTTATGCTTTTTCACACCTCTTTTAATTTGTTTTCCCAAACCCGAACTCAGATTGGAAATGCAGCGTACCACAATGACGTGTTGTATGAAGAGCTGAGGAGATCGATTCCTCAATTGGCAAATTTGTTGCAAATGACAGAGGAGGACAAGACTAAGGCAAATGCAGCAGGTGCACTTAGCAATCTGGTTCGCAACTCTGACAAGCTTTGCCAAGACATTGTGTCCAAAGGAGCGATTCAGGTACATGCATGCTTGCCTTTTTTTAAAAAAAATATTGTGATATATCTGTCTTTATACTGTCAAACATATGCTATGATATTGATTTTCACTACTAAATGAACTGTTTTCAATCTGCACAATTCAGTCAAATTCACTTCAGAATTTTGCCTAAAGTACTTTAACTTTTTTTTTAAAGAGTTTAAGTTGATTATAAACCTTATTTTCATTTTACTAATCCATGCAAACTTTGTTTAAATGTTTTGATAAATTATGATAATAAAAGGACTATTTCTAATAAACAGTAAATTATAATAACTCAGTTAAAATAAAATAAATATATCTTATAATTTCCTTATTTCTAAATTTTGGAATTCCATTTTATATATTTTAAGAAGATAGTAAGTTACCGTTAACAGTGGCCAAAATGTGTCGTGTCAACCGGTGGATTCCAAGGGGTCATGTACATGTTTAAAAAATGAGAAAAATGTGTATCATTTTGAAGTATACAAAGTTGTGTCATTTTAAGTAAGAGAAAGAGATAAATCATGAGAGAGAGATTGGGTGGGAAAAGTTTTAAATGTGTGGATCCCACCTCTTTGTGAAAATGAAAGGATGTAAGGTGTGTCATTTAAAATGACACATCTTTTTCCCTTAAAAAATTACATAACCTTTTTTCGTGTTGGGTCACAGATCAACTCGCAGACATGCTAATCAACCTGTGGGTGAGTCTGAAGGAGAACCTGCCCAGTCAGCATCTGAATAGCTAGATATCTTTGCATTCCCTTTATTTGTGTATAATAAACCTCTTCCTGATGCTTTTTTGATATATCAAAGAATCCTGATAATTGCATCCCAATAGGAGTCACGAAGCTTACATACCGTTGCAGAATTCTCCCCCTGAGCAACAAAACCTAGTAGTTGCTCCATATATACTTCCTCTTGCAAGTCACCATGTAAGAATGCATTTTTGATATCAAGCTGTAGAAGAGGCCATTGATGAATGGTAGCAAGTGCAAGAAATAGGCAAACAGATGCAATATTGGCAATAGAAGAAAAACTATCCCATAGTCAAGACTAAATGTTTGATTGTATCCCTTGGCCACCAAACGAGCTTTGAGGCAATCAACAGTGCCATCAGGACCAACTTTGACAGTTAATACCCATCGACAACCGACAACTGACTTTCCAGGAGGAGCATGAACAAGATCCCACCCATGTGTCATTGGAGTGAAGTGCTTGCATTTCATCATTCATCGCCTGACGCCAACCCGGATGAGATAATGCTTTACCTGTGGTTTTAGGAATAGAAACAGACGAAATACTAGAAACAAAAGTAAAATATGGTGAAGAAAGTCTATCATAACTCAAGAAACTATAAAGTGGATGAGGGTTGCGAGTGGATCGAATACCTTTGCGAAGGGCAATGAGAGTAATCTTTGATGGAGGATCTGGAGAGAAAGAGTCGACCAGAGTAGGCGGTGAGTCAATAAGGGTCAAATCCGCTGGAGGCGCAGGCTGACGACGCTGATAGGTGAGAAAATGACGGTTTTCAGGGATGGAGGCAAGGGGTAGCTCCTCCGGGATAGAGTCACTTGCAACTGGTAAAGACAAATCAAGACAAGGAACAAGAAGCACATGATCAACTTCTATTAACTGAGACGAGATAGAATGAAAAGGTTGTTGATAAAGGAAAGTGACATCAGTCGAAACAATATAACACTTGAGATCAGGAGAGTAACAACGATACCCCTTTTGAAAACGAGTGTGTCTAAGGAAAACACACTTGAAAGCTTTGGATGTTAACTTATCTTTTTCTGGAATAAGATCATGAACAAAGCAGGTACATCCAAATACATGTGGAGGTAGAGGATATGAAGGTGCTCCTGGAAATAAAACACTATGTTGAACTTCATTATTGAGTACGGAAGAGGGCATGTGATTGATGAGAAAGCAAGAGGTGAATATAGCATCTGCCGGAAAACGGAGTGGAACATTCATATGAATTAGTAGGGTACGTGCAGTTTCAACCAGATGTCTATTTTTACGTTTGGCCACTCCATTTTGTTGTGGAGTGTGTGGGCAAGTGGTCTAGTGTAACGTCCCACGTTGCTCCAAAAAATTAGAAAATTCAAGAGACACATATTCTTTTGCATTATCACTGCGCAAGATTTGAATAGAAGCACCAAATTGAGTATTTATTTCAGCACAATTTTTTTGATAAATTTAAAATAATTCAGAACTATTTTTCATTAAATAAACCCAAGTACAACGAGAGAAATCATCAATAAAGGTTTCAAAATACTGAAAACTTAAAACAGACATTGTTTGACTCGGACCCCAAATGTCAGAATGAACAATAGAAAAGGGAGCATAAGCTCTTTTATTTACTCTATTAGCAAATGAGGAGCGGGTGTGCTTTCCTTGCTGACAAGATTGACAATTTAAAGACTTAAGACTGGATAAAAAAGGAACCATATGCTGAAGCTTGGAGAGGCTTGGATGACCTAAACGATTGTAAATTAGCTCAGGAGACTCTGTGAGAGAACACACTACTGGAGAAGGTGGTGCAATCAGATAGTAAAGACCTCGTGACTCAATGCCCGCTCCAATCGTCTTCCATGTACCCAGATCTTGCATAGAAAATGATTGTTTAGAGAAGGTAACAATACATGAAAGAGAATGAATCAACTGGCTAACAGAGATTAAATTAAAAAGGAATGCCAGGTTGAGTTCAAAGTTAAAAGGGGAGTTGGTTTGGCTTCCCCAATTCCACGAGCAGGAGCCTTTAGTGCCATTAGCAAGAGTGACAGAGGGTAAGTTATTAGAATAAGAAAGTGAAGTGAGAAGATCCTTATTACCAGAAAGGTGATGAGTAGCACCTGAGTATATTATCCAGGGTCCAAGAGATGATTGAGAAAGTCAAGCAACATGATTACCAGTGTCTTGAGTAGGTTGCTGAGAAGAGTGCGTCATAGTTGGCACTTGAAAGAGTTACTGATCTAATAGAAGGTGGTATAACATTAGTCTGAGCAAAGTTGGCAGTCGGTGGTTTCAAGTGAGGGTACTTCCTATAGCAGCGTTCTTCAAAATGTCCAAGATTCAGGCAATAATTGCAACAAGGTCTCTGTCCGCGGTCACCCTGTCCACGTCTGCGACCGCGTCCACTTTTCAATTGGAATCATTGGAACGAAAAAGAATGCAGTGGAATCGGTAACTGGCACATGTGTGGGAGTTGTTGATTTATGCTTAAGATTCAGAAGGCGCTGGAAAGTGTGTGACAAGCAAGGAGTCTCAGCACTGGTTAGAATGTTCTCACGAACACTTTCTAACTACTCGAAAAGACCAGAGAGGGTTACGAACATAAAGAAGCTCTTCACCTGCTTCTTGTATGCATAGGCATCTGCAGCATGAGATAACATTAGCTAAGAATTCTTACATCAAAGACCGAATCTTACCAATATAAGTTTCCATTTGAGACTCTAGAGAATTGCGCAATTCCATTATCTGAGACACAATTGAATAAAGCTGCTGAATGTCATTGGCGTAAAGGTTTTTAGCTTCCTCCCGTACTTCATAGTAGGTCTCAAAGGAGATGAAAATGTCTGTAATTGTGGGATCAATGGACTGCCAAAGGATACTTAGCAGTTGAGCATCAATATTTTCCCATTTAGATGTTTGATCCTTCGAAACATTGGCAGACTTAGTTGTGAGATGTTGACCGTATCCCTGACTAGTAAACCAGATCTTAACTGAGGTAGACCAGGTCTTGTAAGTAGCAGATCCGGTCAGTTTCATCGTTATAGTGGATGGGGTAGTACTGGAGATGACACCGGTAATGTTTTTGAATGCACTACCTAAGCCCTCCATCACAAAAAATAAACAAAGATGACCAGATAAAAGCAAAGAGCTGCAAGAAATCACGCAAAATTAAATAAAGATGTCTAGTACTACGAACGAAGAACACAAAGAACGGAGAGCAAAGAATCATTGATATCTTCTGAACAGACAAGACCCACAACGAACGGAGACCAGATCTGGAAAAAGGAGAGGAAGGCGAGTTGTTATGTCTTGGAATGGCCGGAAAAGGTCACTAGAACAGTGCTCACGTGTCGGTGAGAGGCGGCGCGTGAGCACCACGCGCAGAGAAGGTCACCCGCGCGTGAGAAGCCCGCCGGTGATGGGCCTTCCACAGAGACGGTCGCCGAAAGAAGGAGAGCCTGATCGCAGGTGTTCCGGTTGAAACCGTCGCCGGAAAGGTTCTCCGGTGACTGTGAACAGTAGCAAACGGAGATTACGGCGGCAAACAGAGGCTGATTTCTTACTATTCAAGGTTGAGGAGGCTGGTTTCTGACTATTCAAGGCTAAGGATAAATATTTGGTGACTAATTAAGGGTTAGGGCTAAAAATGGGTTGACGGTATGATGCACGGTGAGATAAGGGTTTTATGCGGAAGCGAGGTTTCCCGTAACAATAGCTCTGGTACCAACTTGAAAGTAAGAATATATATTGTATTCAATTGTGTATAGAATTGTACAAAAGACCTCTATTTAAAGAGGTTAAATGACCTAATGAATTAAGTCCAAATAATATAATAGAATAACATAATAATAAGTAATACAATACTATTATATTATTTGTAACAGTGCCATAAATTGACTCTCCTCCAGTCCCATTCCCTCTTGTGAAATCTCCTCCCTGACACATGAACTCTAGAATAATGCGATGAAATTTGGAGTGCAAAGGCTTCCAGATACTCCAATCCCCTTTTTCCCTAGTGCACAGGGCTCGGAAGTTTTCGATTGTTTTAGGAGTGACATGCAAAAAGTTCCATTACAACTCGCCCAGATTTCATCTTTCCAATTAGAATGTCAAAGAAAACTTTTGGATTTGACATATTGAAAACTTCATTTATTTTTTTAAAATTCTCAACGTTTTAGGTTTTTATTTTTATTTTATTTTTTAATTTTCAATTTTTTCGTGTTGTTGTGTTGTGTTTTGATCCTTTTTGGCATCCCTACCAGGGGCTACTCTTTCTCATTAATAAAAAAAAAATGAAAAAAAGAAGCTATACGCTGATAGGAATCGAGCAGCCGCCACAGCTGAGCAAAATAGTGTAAAGGCAAACAGAATAGCGGTTGTTTTTTGGGGATTATAACTAATACCGTTAACTTTTTGTGGCTGTGGCCAGAGTTAATTAATTGGACTATTGGTTAGAATAACATTGGCTACGGTGCTAAAGACGGCTCTATGTTTGACACATTTTTTTAAGCAAAAATTTAGTATAAAAAAAGATAAAAAAAATAAAACCTAAAAGTATTTTGATAATTATATAAGAAAAAAGTGTGTCTTTTTAAATGACACACTTATATTCTTTTAAGAGAAATAAAGAAATAAAACATGACGGAGAGATATTGGAGGAAAAAGTTTTTAATTTAAATTTTAAAAAAATATATTACTTTGATTTAAAAGGACAATCTTTTTAAATGATACATATTTTTTCCATTATATAAAGTTATTTTTAAGGTTATGAATAGAGATAAAAAAATTTGTTATCAGGGTAAACTATTGAAATAAATAATAAAATTTATAAACAAAAGTTTACAATAAGGATATAATTGAAAAATAAATGTGAGAATTCCAGAAAATTTAATATATATCTTAAAAAGTGCTTCTCTACGGAAAAAGAAGAAGCTTTTTTCTACTATAATTAAAAATAAAAGCTCTCAAAGAGGCACATAAGAATCTCTCTTCTCTAGATTTTGATCCTTATCTTTGATAAGTTCTCTTATTACATCTACTATAATTATCTTGGGTGACAATTCGTGTGTTCGTGCCGAGTCAAAGTATGACACAAACACGTAAACACTCAACCCAAGTACGATATGAATGAAAATTTATGTGAAGATCTTTGACACAAATACAATAAACTTATTTTGTGGGTTGATATAGCATTATACGAATAATTTGCTAATCTTAAAATATCTTAATTATTATATAAGTTGACTTGATATGATACAAATCATCCGCCTATCTTTGACATCCATGAGGCGATACGAATAATTTGGAAAAGAGATTAACATAATCTGTTAACAATTTAGATTTTAAGAAAATAATTTAATGTACGAACTGTTTTAAAGAGGGTTAAGAGACATAGGGTTTAAATTCTTTTTTTATTTATAATTAGATAGGCAGGACGTAACGTAGGCTTGTCTCCAATGACTCGTGGGGATTTGCGAATTCTAGTTTTTCTATCAAGAATGACAAATAACAAGGAGTTAGTTTCATTTGTTTGCATCCAAGTGTTGATGTGTTTACGATAATAAATTATCATCAATTTTTATGGTCCCTATTATTCTTCTACAACTACCAGCTACGATTGTAACTAATTTTATTTGTCTTGGATGGTCTTTCACCCTTTCAGTCTCTGCTGAAGTTAATTTCTGACTGTGCGGTGTTTGCTCGAAATCCAAGCAAAAATGATTCAGTAAGTGAATCTCCTTTAAAGATAGCTCTCTTTTCCCTTGCAAAGATGTGTGCACATCCACTCTGCAGACAGTTCATCCGTTCATCACCTTTGTTCTCTGTGATTGGAAGGCTTCAGCATTCTCCAGAATCATCCATTGCGAAATATGCTTCCGTGATCATTAGCAAAGTTGCTGAACCTTGATATTCGATGTTCCTTTGTCACTGTTTGCTTGACTGTACAATGCTTCTTAGAATGTAAGGACAGAGTGTAACACTGCAAATAAGTGCAGAAAAAGTCATCTTTAGTATGTGAGATTCACTTCATTTGTAAACTATGTCTATTTATAGTGTGTATACTCCTTTGCATGTCTCGGCTATAACTTCTTACGTAATCCTCATTTACAACTGAATGTTTTTTGCGGTTGTCTTTCTATTGTTAGGGAAGCACGGACAGGGCTATTCTAACTTTGAAAACAAATTTATGTATGTGAATAATGCATACGATAAAATTAAAAACCAATTTCAGTTGCAAGTTGAGCAAACCTTTGGAGAGGGAAAATTGAGTTTGTAAATTAGTATATGTATTTATAATGGCATACACGTATTTGTCCTCTTCAGAAAGGAAAAACCACTTATTTTTAAAGCTAAAAGTAGTTTTTAATTTTTAATAGAAAAAAAGCCTAAAATGAAAGTTTATTTTTATTTTTTCCTAAAAAAGAAAAACTTAAACGCACCCTTATTTGTATCAGTATCTTCATTTCATCAAGATCCGACAGAAAATTAACATTTGTCACACATTTAATAAAGCAGATTTTATTTTGTAGAAAGTGACGGATGTTTTATTTTAGGGTTTTGTGAATGTTATGTAATTTTTTGTAGGCTCGCCAAATATTAGAAAAAAAAATAAAGAAAAAACTTCCACGAAAAATGATCTGAGAGTAGGAGGAAACAAAAATTTACAGTAATGATGTTAGCTTTTCCCATTATTTTGTGGGAGATGTCTTTTTTTCGCGGGGGGCAGCTTTGCCTGCATAGAATCAATTATTAGAAATCTAATAATCTTTTGATGTTGTATCAACATTATATTCTTTTTTTCTCATTGCTACTGGTTGAAGGGCTTTCCCAGAAGAGCTCCCAAAGGTCCAAAACTCTATTACCCACATATAAATTTTATAAATAAAAAGTAAAGTTTACATGTATGGATATCTAACTCTTTTTACTGTTATGTTGTCATTATGCAAACACCCCCATCCATTTGGTAAATGCTGTTATTATCAGTGCACATTGATCAGCAAACCTTCCAAGGCATCTAATTCATAGATACCTGAGAGAGAATATAGATCCCATATTCACCAAGCTTTAATTTTCAATAATCAATTCCGTGGGAGACAACCTATAATTTGTGTAGTGAGGGATGAAGATGTGAAACGCAGTGAAATTTGGAATGGATGATTTAGAGCATGCATGCCATGTGGAACGTTCTTGTTGTAATATCCTTAATCTGAATATATATATAAATATAAGAGATAAGATATTTTTACACCGGTGTAAGAGTTAGAAGTCTTAAACTCAATCTTGACCATTGATTTACTTGTATCTAATGGCCCACATTACTAAAAAATTAGAGCCCTTAGTCAGTGGCGGACCCAGAAAAATTAATTCATGTCCGCACATTTGAAAAAAAAAATTATATAACTTTCACATTGAGGAGTTGACTTAACAATGCAGGAAACACATATAAGGTGAATAGCAATTCTAAGCAGATAGAAACATAAAGTAGTAAAAATTATGTATAAATTAAGGGAAAAGTGTGTGTCATTTTTAAATATGTAAAGTTGTGTCATTTTAAGTGAGAGAAAGATAGATCATGGAGGAGAAAGTGGACAAGACAAAAAGGTGTGGGTTCCATCTTTTTGTGAGAGTGAAATGACACAAGTTGTGTCATTTAAAAGGACAAACACTTTTTCCATAAATTAAATGTTACCAGTGAAGCAAGTATGACAGTGAAGTTATGTCGAATGATGGTTGAGTTGAGCGATTGAAGTGTGCAAACCCAGAAAATCAAGTCATCCTATCTCTTCAGTTACTACGTGAAAAATAGTTTTCTGCTATAAGAATTATTGACATTTAATCTCAACACAAAAAGATATTTAACATTTTGCACCAAAGAGATATTTAACATGTGTATTGCAAAATTAATAGTTACTAATATAAATATTGAACCAAAGATAAATAAGGACTTGCAACAAAGAAAAAGAAGGAAAAAAAAAACTAAAATCAAATTTTTATGTCCGCAAGTGCGGACATTTGCGCAAGCGTGCGTCCGCCAGTGCCTTCGATATAAGTGGAATCAACAGATAAGATTGAGAGTGTAACTTACAATGGTGTGAAATGATTTGACCCATATATATATATGTATGTATGTATTTCAGAAAAACAGTCCCTTTTTTTGTAAGAACCCGCACCGTTAATTAAGGAATTTAATTAATAAATTATGCAAAATTAGGAAATGATTCCATAATTGACTCTAATAATTATTATGAGGCTTTAATAATTATAGTAAGTGGGTAATATTGCTGAAAGTCGCTTTTCGGAAGAAAAGTGCAGATACCGGTTCTTCTAGTCAGTATAAATGAGTACCGAAAAAGTATCCCGAAAAATTAAAGTAAGTGCATGTTAATTAATAGAATGATAGGTAGGACTTGTAAAACGAGTTTCAAGTCCAGATAATGAGAACTGGTGCTGGAAACCGGTACTGGCTTTGAAAAAGCGCGTACCGGAAAGGTGCTCAGAAAATTATTAGAAAAATATGATAAATCTTAGAAAATTATGTAGTTTCATAATCCAAAGTTTGGGATTAAAATTCTAAACGTAACAAATAATGTTAATACTGTGTGTTTAATTGTTAAACCACCATATAAGCCTTAGTGGGCACTAAACCCTAGGCCATATTACATTCTCTACGTGAGTTTGGAGCTGGTGGTTGCTGCCTTGGCCTTCTCCACCTTTGTGTAACCTCCCTTGTAGCCTTTCTTCTCCTTTTCTTCACTAAAACACCTTGGGTGAGTGAGAATCATCTTTGTGAGTGAAAGGTAAGCACCTTTTCTGAGTTGTGGTGGCTGTGGGAGCTGAGTTGTTTTCTGGTTTGGTGGCATTCTTGTTGAGGAGTGTTGTTCTTGGCTTGTGAGGCTTCTAGGAGCTTCCTTTGTGAAGAAAGATCCTTGCTTGGGAGGTATTTTCGTGCACCCTTGAAGTCAGCACCTTGGGAGCTGATTGTGAGCTCCAAGAGCACCTCCAACCTCTGTTTTGAGCTTTGGTAAGCCTTGTCACCTTTGGTCTTGAGTCTTTGAACTTAAAAATGGTACCTTGATGCATCTAAAGGCTAAAAGATGATTGCTTGTTGTTGGGTAATGTTGAACACACCTAGAAATGCATGTTTAGGTGCTTAAAATCGTTAAAAACCCAACCTTGATGGATATCTTCACGAAATGCAGTTTCTGCATTCTGTCGTGAAATATCCGGATATCTGCCCGATGAATATCCGGATATGTGATATCCGGATATGGGTTTTGAGTATCCGGATATGAGATATCCGGATATGGGATTCTGGATATCCGGATATTGCATATCCGGATATGGCCCCGAGGAATATCTGGATATTCTGGGATTTCGAAGAACAGTAGCTGTGCTGTGAGGACAGTAGGCTATTGGGGGTTTGTGGACCCTAGAATGATGAAGTTGAACTTCTGTTTTAATTAAACAAAGTCAGAATCAAGTGATTAAGGACTTATGGCTTGGTATGGAGCCTTAAGACGTTAAACGTATGGAAATGCGTTGTCTTAATATTGTATGCTTGTGGTGCATGTTGTTGATGTAGTATTGGTCCATAACGGATTGTGAATCTACTGTGATTGGACTTTGAGCTGTGGACTCTTGGCTTTTGGAGTTAGCTTGCAAGGTAAGCTTTCGTGTCCTCGGTTTAGCCATGTTGTGGTTCCACCATGTCCCATGGGGGTATGGTTTATGCATGTTGTGTATATGCTTTTGGATATTTGATATGTTGATTGAACTTTACATGTAATGGCTTTTAATATACATGTGTTGTTTCATCTTGACGGGAAGCCTGAGTATGTAGCGCCATACAAGACGGTGTACCGGGGGGAATGCAAGTGGTACTTGCACGATGTGTAGGTGATAGACGTATACATGCACTGTCTCTGGCCAGTAGATTAGTATTGACACACAAGGCATGATTATCTGCTGCATTGCATTGTTTTAGAAATGATAAATGATAAACTGTTTTTGAACTTATATTGCACATGTAAGTGAGCTTGGGGTGGAAGATCCTTGAGGACTCACTGACTTACTGAGATTTCTAGATTAGAGATCTTACCCCACGTTTGGGGAATGCTTATTTCAGGATCAGGTAGTATGGGTACTGATGCCTCAGGCGGCAGGAGGCCGGAGCTTAGCTGATTATGTTTTACTGCTTTATGTTAGCATGACTGGATTTGAGATGCTGTTTATGTTTTCCGCTATTTATGATATGTTGTTGTTGAGACTGATGTTGGGCATGTTGCCTTATTTGAGTGAGCATGGGGATTGTCCACGACACTTTCTGTTAGTACTTTTAGATTGAAATTGTATAAACTGTTAGATGGTCCGGTCTACATTGTTGTAGTTCCGTGACTAGAGCCACACTTATATTATCTATGTTACGAGGTATTTCAGTTAGCTGTTTTATTGCAATTACATACAGGCGATGTTTTATTAATTGATTATTAAGCAAGTTGGTAATGTTAATGGCATCATAATTGAAAAGAAAAAGTAATTCCGCATTTTTAATTAAGCGCAGCTTAATACGATATTATGATAACATTACCGGATATATACAGGGTGTTACAGTTTTTCTCACGATCAGACCCTTTCCTTCTTCACAGACCTACTCTTCCAAACACCTCCATGCAACACTCCTTCTTACTCCTCTTCTTCAACTAAAAACCCTCTCAAAAAGTCACCTAAACCAAAATTATTCCTCTTCTTTCCTTTACTCATAGTGAACTGGAGAATATTAAAGTCTATACACCCCTTTTGTTTTTCTTCACTTTGAGGAACATAAACCACTTCTATTTCTGATCATTTTACCTTTACGACAAGCTCATTGCAAGGGTCCAAAAACAAGGGAAATTTTAAAAGACAAAGACCTTCC